AACCCAGTATTTGAAAATGATGATGGTGTCCTAACTCATGTTTCCACCCTACCATGTCCCTCAAGCTCTGCCTCTTCCCAATCCCAACAGTCTGAGCAGGAACATTTTGCCTCAGTTGAAAATATACGCCTGAGTATTGAGGTACAATGAGTTGAGCTATATAATCAGCTAACCAGTTTAACCACTAACACAATTCTCTGGCCATCTGCTCAATAATAGTCTTTTTTCATAGCAAAATAACGGTTTAGAGTTTGATCAGTTGCTGCACTGAGGCTGTCAACTTCTCAATAACACACAAATTCTGCAAAGCAACCCCTTCCCCCCGATTTCTGCTTTGTAGGTTTCACCTCTGACCTGAGAGCCACTTTTTTTTGTAGAGGGTAGATATCTTTGTAGCAGATCTGAGTAGACAGAGGATTGAACAAAATTTTAAAGAGCAAAAAACTAAAATATGTTTATTTTTCTATTTTTCAGATCCCCAGACGACTCTACACAACAAGATCAGAAAAGCTAGTTTCAGACATGGTGGGTTTCCACCACAGTTTGCCACACAGTGAGGTAAGACTAATATGAACTGTTTTAACTGACTTTGTTTTAAATATGTCTGCAAATCAGAGAAATGTGGTTTATACAGTTAATACAAAAAGAATTTCACATTGTTTACTTTTGCCGCAATCTTTATGTGTTTTATTGGGATTTCATGTGATAGAACAACAGAAAGTAGTGCATTGTTAGAAAATGGAAGGGAAAAATGCCACATTACTCAATGAGAGCCACTGCTAAAAAAGAAAGAAAATTGACCTCAGAAGTCCTTTGATTCCAGATATGGACAACTGGTGTGCAATTTAATTTCAGAATTAATCAGAATAGCATGATTAAGAGAAACAGCACCTGGTACCTCTGTAGGAGCTGCAGAGAAACAGGGCTCAGGTGGGAGAACCTATTGTGAAGATAACCTTTAGCCTCAAACCTAAATGTGGATTTAATGCAAGAGTGGTGAACAAAAATATCATTGTTTAAAAAACATGTCTTAAAAAACATCCTATGTACTTAAGATATGTGCAAGGAGCACATAAAACAGACATGGATTTTAACTTAAATGCTGAATAAATTGTAACAGTAAACTAATGCATAAACACCCTATGCTTAAACATGGTATTTGCAGCATCATGTTGTGGGGTTGTTTTGTTTCAGCCATTGCAAGGAAGACGATCAGAACTGATGGGAAAATGTGTGGCGGCGAATGCAGAACGATTTCTTAGGGAAACTGCTAAAAGCTGCAGGATGCTAAACAAACAACCAGAGCAACAATGGAACAGTTTAGGTCAAAGTAGATTCATGTAAAGGAACAAAATAGTAGAAACTGAATTTAAATTACCCTGAAGAAATCTGTATTTATAATATTTAAAATGGAATGCATGAGTTCAACCTGAATTTCCATTAATTGAAACTGAATTCATTTGGTTTGAAACTGAATTCAATGGCTTTAAAAAAAAAATTTTTTTTTTTATTTGAAAATTCAGCTTTTCTTGTTTTTTTACTATCAATTGTATTTATCAGTTCACAAATCCAGTTTATTGGTCTCAAACAATCAGGTACTTTAGCCACACAGTGATCAAACACAGATTCATGGATATATATTTCACATAAGCTATTATTTGCTTTATGGCATTTTAAGCTGCAGCAGAGCAACGTGCATTAGCTTGGTAGATGTCATGAACAATGTTTAATGTAAATTGTACCTACAGATGCTGAAAGAGCATAGCATACACCATATTCTATGATCTATTTATATTTGTGACCCAAGTGTTTGCTGTTGCAGTCTCCTCAGGAGTCTGCAGTCTGCTAACCCAAACATAAAATGATTCATATCTGAACCTGATTTCCAAAGCTAACACTTAATGCCACAAACTGACTAAACCTGAAACATTCTGTGGTGAAAGACATATAGCGCCCCCTTCGGTCACAATACGGTGGGGCACAAAATATAGTATAGTTTAACAACATTGTTCTGTGTTTCCATCAATATGTTAGAAATGTTAAATGGTTATCGCACCTACCAAGCTTAAACACTACAGTGTACAAAAAAATTACATTTATTTGGACTATAGGGCTGAAAATAAAAAAAAAAGACACTTGGAATTTTAAATAGAAAATTTGGTTTTATTTTACTGATGTTTTTTTTCTCCAAATTAAAGGTATAGTGGAGGATGTTCTTTTTCTGGCTGGATCATCAAAATAAGTGGTCCTCCTAACTGACAATCATTCTGGTGTTATGTTTACGTAAGGCCGTCCTACGTGCTCGTCCACATTTTCACTTACTGGTGCAAGTTTGACATAGTGGAAAAATTGCAAATCTTCTTTTGGAAAGTAATCCTGTATGAGCGATGCAAACAGCAACAACTAAACACAGTGTGCACAAGGAGAAATGGGCTCGTGCACGCTCTCTCACACGTTTAATAAGCGTTCCCTCTCGGGAGCGGGTACAGGTTGTACATGTGCTTTTTTTTTTTTAAGTGGAGAGGGCGGATCTTTTCAAAAATTTGCCAAAATCCTCCATTATACCTTTAATGCATTTTTTTTTTTTCAAATTACATGGCCATTCCTGTTTTCTGCCAATAGGAATGGCCTAATCTACTCAAAGTATAGACCTAAACCCACCTGAGAAGCTGTGTCGATGTAAACTGCCAGATCATATTTCCTTTTACTTCTGCTTCACAATTATGCTTTATTTTAAGTTGGTCCATCATTTACTACATTAATGAACAAAACTAAAATCTGTTTTAATGTGCTGGAGTGAAGGTAAAGTACGATCCATCTGCTTTTAGTTTTCACATAAAAAGCCTGCCATAAGATAACTAATCAGACAAAAAAATCTTTTTCAGCTGTTTGATGCCTGCAAAGGTAAAATATTGTGAACACCATCTGAATTCTTTATTTTTTTTAACTCACAAACAGAATCATCGCTGCTTTTTTGTGATCAATTATTTTCTTTAAAAGCAGAGAAATAATCGGAACTGTTGCACAATCATTTCCTTGGGAAAACACTCTCCAAATGAAATACTGTTGATTCTAGCTTTTGTAATTTGCCTTCTGATAATTGCTGTCTGCCATACGCATGATAATTATAAATACATTATACCCCATCTGGAATAAACTGAAACTTTACATCTTCTTCCCCCTAGACATGGCGACTGCCAAGTGAATACAGAACGTGCTGTCTGCTGAGGGCGACTGACAGTGACTGTTTCGAAGTCACAGTCCTCTAATAACACCTTTATCTAGTGCAAAGCATGAGGAAAAGGAAGAACTGCTACTGTTTAACTGTGTCTAGTATAAGTGTTCATAGTGAAGAAAGTCTCTTGTTAGACAGTGAGCTCTGGGGATGAATCTGTGTTCGAGGAGAACCTAATATTTATGACCTTATAAATAGTAGGAACATTTCCTATTCCCTTGACAAAGGCTGCTCTTTCCTCACAATGAGGTATTTATTAATATTATTTTTTTTTTTTTGAAAGATGCACATGGGTGCGTCTCCTTGCATGTTTAGACAAAGTAATATATTTTTGTTTCAATGCCATTTTTTTGTGTCGTTTCCCAAAAAGAGAATGTACTGTATAAGCTATTGACTTGGCTGCTATGTTGTCTCTCCATCAGTCACATCCAATTCACATCCTTATCGTTAATCATAAGATTTGGACATATTTTTATACAATTTTCATTTAATGCAAATAAAATAAAGGTTTTCAAAAGAATACGTTTTTTGTTTTTGATGGCTTGAGTTGGTTGTAATAGTTACCATGCCGCATGCATCAGATTTAAAGAGAAAAGCTAAACAAATAAAGAAAAAAGAAAAACTGACTAAATATTATAACATATGTTAAAATTTATCATAACAAACATAGATGAGAGGGAAAAGCTACCAAAGTTTCTTTGGTCAGCACTAAGCTAATGCAACTAATGACCAAAGTTAAGTTTTTAATCAGATTATAATAATGCATATTAGGATAAAAAAATATGGAGATAACTGAATCATTCTTCCCATAAGTGTCATATAATGCAGGTAAAGTTGTTTAAAAAATACAGATGCAGACATAATCTGCTTGTAATCTGTTTGTTGATGGGTTTCCCCTCAGTATTTTTGTCATTTACCTTCATGTATAGGTACATTTTAACACACGTTTAAGAGTTAATCCATTTAAAGAAATTAAGCAAAAAAAAAAAGTTTTTTTAAATCATGCATTGTTTACATTTTTCAAAAAGCACAAATCAATATCTGACAAATCTTCAAAAAAGAAGTGTTAGGTATTTGTTAAGAGTTTAAGAATTAGACACACGCATTGTCCAACACCTAAGCCCTCTATAAGGAGGGAAAGTCAGAAAAGGACATAGCTAAAAACAAAGTGACTGTGCAAAGTGTTATATTAAAGCATTAATATGGAAAGGAAGGTAAAAGTTTGCTGGAGGGGGAAAACCCATTAGACAGCCATAAACAAATCAATGCAGTGTGGATAACTGCTGGAATAAAAATGGTTAATAGACACCATTATCAAAGGTACCTAGAACATTGTCTTAGTTTCTGCTGTTATTCTGGGTCCAGAGGCTTTGGATGATTTTAGAATTCATGTCAACCTGGTGTTGGTCTTCTGTACTTTTATGAAGCTCAAAGACACATTAGTTGTCTTTCAGAAAATTAAAAGGCCTTTCAGGTTTGTATCTACCAAGTTTAATAACCACGTTTTCACTGTTTGACTGGGCCCACATGAGGATTGTCAAATGGTATCCTCCATTTATTTTTATAGTCACCCATCATCAGACGCTTGTGAAAAAAAACCTGATGATTAGGATTTATAAAACCCCTAAACTTCTTTTATATGAGGAATTAATTTCAAACAATTATGGAATCAACCCACGTATATAAACTATCAGTTATAAAGTGCTGCTGTATGTTTAAAATATTGACAGAGAATAATGATAGAAACAAACAAAAGAAATCAATGCATATTTCAGAAATGTTTATTTTCTTTTTTTTTTCCAGAGAAAAAGGCCATCATACAGGAGATGTTCAGTTGTCTTAAAATTTTATAGATAAATGATAGGTCACTTTCCCTTAACCATTGAAAAAAAAAGAAAGAAAAATCGTAACGCAAACGCCGATAACATTATAAGCTGTAGAACAACTCTGTATGCACAAAACTGCAAACATGAAAACACCTCCCCTTCCATTTGAAATCAGCATCACTAAAAAGGACTAAAGAGTCACAACGTGTCTAGCCAGGAAAAATAAATGATTTTTATTCCTCAAAGGCATCACATTTCTGCAGCATTACATGAAATCTTCCATACATGATGACATCAAATGATCCAATATAGTCAGCGTCAGCTTGTTTTAAGAATGAGAATTGGATTTTGTGTAAAAAAATTCACATCATCACATATTTCTGTCTTAACTGTGACTGTCTTCCTTTATGGACACAAAAATTAAAAGCATGGATTTTATGGCATCACAAGACAGTTAAAACTCTTTAAACATCTAATTCTGTGTCATAATTTGGGTTTTAAGTTTAGAGCTACAAAGAATGAATCAATTAAGACTTCTGTGGTGCAACTTTACAGCAATTTAAGGCCTTAGGGTGGGCTTTTTCATTTCTGCACAGACTATTTTAAATTACTACCAGATTGCTAACACAACTAAAAGTGTTTCACTGCAAAATATTAAAAAATAAAACCAGTAATAAGAATCCATATCAAGTGAGCAAATTGCTAAAAGATTAAAAGATTGTGCAGGCAGCATCTGTGGTCATTTCCTAACGACCCCACAAACCACAGAGACAGTGTGCTGCCCGTGAGTGTGCAGAAGCATCAGTATTGTGTTTCAGGGTGAGCGGGATCACTTAAGAAGACTTTGCAGCATGGCGGTGGCGTGTGTTGGGCGGGCCTGCTTGTTCTCTATCGCTTTCTTTAGGTACTGAATCCCGTCACAGCGCTCCCAGATTTCCTCAAACTGCCTGGGAAGGATCTCAGCTCCTCTCTTCCTGGTCAGACCCGTCTCCTCCAGACTCAGCTCACACATCTCCATATCATCTTTACCTTTGGGATGGAGGAGGAGATCTTATTAAGGAGCAAATCTTATTAAAAATTGTATCTGATAATTGTCATGATTTTTCACTCAAAGTCAATGCAAATCTTGAATTCAGTTTGAGTTTGAATATTACATCAGATTTATAAAGATATGAAATGTTCAGCTGCAGACTCCAATACACACAAGCAGCATGCATAACAGCTATCTTAGTAAGACTGTAAAGCAATCCTAACAATAGGATCCAAAATAAATTAACATCTCTGTTGGATAATGTCTCCCACCCCATGCATGAAGCTGTTTCATAACTGGAGAGCTCCTTCAGTGACAGACTGCTGCACCCTAAATGCACCAGGGAGCGTTATCACAGATCCTTCCTCCCAGCAGCTGGAAGACTTTATTACCACCACTGTTCCCAATAACCTCAATATGTTGTTACATTCATGCTGATTTTGCACAGTTTCTTAGTCAGTTAAACAACATGCAGCTATCATAATGCACATACTATAAATATATAGTCTATAGCTGTATATTGGTTATTTATTCTCCAGGTGCACAGTATTTATATTGTTACGTTGACAGCATGGCTTTTTTTTAATCTTTGCAATTAGTTGAACATTTGGATGAGAGTAAATTTTGCATTTCAGGGGTCTCAGATAATGGTCCCAAAAAAAGAAAACTGACCAGATCTAAAACTTTGAGAGAAACTTTCAAGATGAAAACAAAGGTCATTAAAAGCAATAATGCAGATTAGCTAAAAGGCACTATTAAGATAACCTGAACACCTCAGGTGAGCATTGTAATCATTCTGTTGTAGTATTTTGTTTGCATAATAGAATGATTTTTATGTTTTCATCTGCTGCCAGCTAGACACTTTAAATATTTATTATGTGCAATGGGGCACCGGTGGTAAAATAGAAAGGCTGGCATTAGTTTAGAAGCACGATGCTGCCCATCCAAAGGCAATACTTAAATATCCCACCGTTTTTGTTTTTTTTATGAGTCTGTCTAAAATTCAAGCAGCCAAAGAAAGAACAGCTGTGTTAACACAATAATAACATGTTAGCATACCCAGTATTAATTCGTAGACTATACCCTTTTTTCTCCCGCTCAGGAAGGTAATTCTTTATTTTAACTTCAGGGTCTCCATAGAATAATGGCTACATTTGGAAGTGTTTGACATTTAAAGATGTTCTAAAGCAAAGATGGTATATGAATACTTCAATAACTTATTAGCTGAATATTTCTTATGTCTAAAACTAAAATGGTAAATGGCCTATACTTATATAGCACATTTTTGTTTTTAAGTCAGGAGACTTGACCAAAGCGTGTTAGTCTACATTCAGTCATTCACCCATTCACTCACACGCTGATGGTGGCAAACTACATAGGGCCCTCTGACCACCATCAGTAGGCAATGTGGGTGAAGTGTGTTGCACAAAGACACAACAACACTGAAAGTCAGAGGTAGAGCTTGAACTGACAACCCTTCGATTGCAGGGCAAACTCCTGCATCCACTGTTGCCACCAACACCAAGTTTCATATATTACATCAAATTGTTTAGTTTAAAAAAGAACAAACAATGGCATAGAATTCCAATGTAGTGAAAAAAAACTTCATATGTTGTTCTTTTCTCCGTTTTACTGAGTAGAGTAAACAAGCGAGAGACATGTTCAAATATGTATGGAAAGAAGTATGGAATCACCTTTTTTTTTATTTCAGTACTTTGCCCATTGATGTTTTGTGGATCTAAGAAGGCGTTCGACCGTGTCCCTTGTGGTGCCCTGTGGGGGGTGCTCCGGGAGTATGGGGTGCGGGGCCAAGACTAGATCGCAAATACAAGCCGCGGAAATCCGTTTTCTTCGTAGGGTGGCTGGGCGCACCCTTCGAGGCAGACTGGCTGTCTGAGTCTCATCCACACCATCTGCTTTCACTGCAACTGATAACTGTTACTACTTCAGTCATTCAGATTGTCTCCAAAGACTTGTGAACCATAATGATCAAATGCATCAGCTGTCTTTATGAGACTGGGTTTTTGGTAACAATAGCCTACATGGGAACTTATGGCCTACGGATCAAAGCCCTAGAAAGTTGCTATCAGTGCATCCTGGGAATCCCTTGGTATGACTCTACTTAACACTGAGATACTCAGTAGCTAACCTTTCCATTGCAAAGACCCCAGCAGCAATTGGCCACGAATGGAAACTTGGTACTCTACAGTCCCAGGTCAAACTTGAGGGATATATGGGCAACAGTGGGCCCTAAAGATGCCATACAATAATGCTGTTGCACAAATCAACCAGTGTTGCTAGTTTAATCATTCAGATTGCCAGGTCAGGGAAACAGATCATAACAAGTAGGCTTCCAGGAGTCCATAGCCCAGGTTCAGGGTTCCAAGAATCCAACAGCAAGTCCAGGCAGAATGTTCAAATGGGAACAGGCTAGCTCAGTAGTTGAGAGGCAGAACAAGACATGATATCAGGAAAACTACGGTACATTAAAACTAGCTCACTCCACTGAGCCAAAACAGGAACAGGGCATGTTCAGTGGATAAGAAACAGGACATGATCAGGAACACTTAAACAATACTAAAAATCTCTCTCACCACTGGCCTCTGAGACAGAGAAAATCAAAGTTGAACTCAGCAACACAATCTCAGAAACAATGATCTGGCCCTGATAGCTGGGATTGAGCCGAATATAAAGCAGCAGGAGTAGATGGATAAGATGAGTGATAATGGGTAATGGGGCAGAGTTAGGCAGGTGAGTGAAATGAGCAATTAGGTCAGCTATTAGGGTCATGATCATGACATAGATAACTTAAGACATCCCTGGGTGGTGATGTTCATGGATTGGACGAGGCCTGTCACATACAGGTGCTGGTCATAAAATTAGAATATCATGAAAAAGTAGATTGATTTCAGTAATTCCATTTAAAAAGTGAAACTTGTATATTATATTCATACATTACATACAAACTCATATATTTCAGATGTTTATTTTGTTTAATTTTGATGATTACAAATGACAACAAATGAAAATCTCAAATTCATCATATCAGAAAATTAGAATATTGTGAAAAGGTTCAAAATTGATGGCCCCTGGTGCCACACTCTAATCAGCTAATTAACTCAAACCACCAGCAAAAGCCTTTAAATGGTCTTTCAGTCTAGTTCTATAGGCTACACAATCATGGGGAAGACTGCTGACTTGACAGTTGTCCAAAAGACGACCATCGACACCTTGCACAAGGAGGGCAAGACACAAAAGGTCATCGCTAAAGAGGCTGGCTGTTCACAGAGCTCAGTGTCCAAGCACATTAATAGAGAGGCGAAGGGAAGGAAAAGATGTGGTCGAAAAAAGTGTACAAGCAAGAGAGATAACCGCACCCTGGAGAGGATTGTGAAACAAAACCCATTCAAAAATGTGGGGGAGATTCACAAAGAGTGGACTGCAGCTGGAGTGAGTGCTTCAAGAACCACCACACACAGACGTATGAAAGACATGGGTTTCTGCTGTCGCATTCCTTGTGTCAAGCCACTCTTGAACCACAGACAGCGTCAGAAGCGTCTTGCCTGGGCTAAAGAGAAACAGGACTGGACTGCTGGTGAGTGGTCCAAAGTCATGTTCTCTGATGAAAGTAAATTTTGCATTTCCTTTGGAAATCAAGGTCCCAGAGTCTGGAGGAAAAGAAGAGAGGCACTTCATCCACGTTGCTTGAAGTCCAGTGTAAAGTTTCCACAGTCAGTGATGGTTTGGGGTGCCATGTCATCTGCTGGTGTTGGTCCATTGTGTTTTCTGAGGTCCAGGGTCAACGCAGCCACATACCAGGAAGTTTTAGAGCACTTCATGCTTCCTGCAGCTGACCAACTTTTTGGAGATGCAGATTTCATTTTCCAACAGGACTTGGCACCTGCACACAGTGCCAAAGCTACCAGTACCTGGTTGAAGGACCATGGTATCCCTGTTCTTAATTGGCCAGCAAACTCTCCTGACCTTAACCCCATAGCAAATCTATGGGGTATTGTGAAGAAGAAGATGCAATACACCAGACCCAACAATTCAGAAGAGCTAAAAGCCACTATTAGAGCAACCTGGGCTATCAAAACACCTGAGCAGTGCCACAGACTGATCGACTCCATGCCACGCCGCATTGCTGCAGTAATACAGGCCAAAGGAGGCCCAACTAAATACTGAGTGCTGTACATGCTCATACTTTTCATGTTCATACTTTTCAGTTGGCCAACATTTCTATAAATCCTTTGTTTTTATTGGTCTTCAGTAATATTCTAATTTTCTGATATGATGAATTTGAGATTTTCATTTGTTGTCATTTGTAATCATCAAAATTAAACAAAATAAACATCTGAAATATATGAGTTTGTATGTAATGTATGAATATAATATACAAGTTTCACTTTTTAAATGGAATTACTGAAATCAATCTACTTTTTCATGATATTCTAATTTTATGACCAGCACCTGTATATCTCTGTTTGTGATGACTATATTAGATGAGTTTAACTTTGAAAAGGGTAGTATATGTTTTTGCTTACTTGCGATTACTTCATCAGTAGCACTTAAGAATATACCCATAGGAATGCACTATGAAACAATTCCAACCAGTGTATACAAAACAAAATTTCATTGTGTATACAAAATGACAATAAAAGTTCTCTAAGTCTAAATCTAATCTCTGTTTTAAGATCTTTTTCACAGTCTTTAATTTGGGGGCTAAGTAATTTTCTCTCATAAACTTTTTCCCAGACAGTTTCCTGACAGTTTGTCTGCTCTTCCTGACTGGAATAATGAACAAAATGAGGTTACCTGCTTAGCAACAGAAAAGAGGGAAAACATTTTTTCTTTTTTTTTATATTCATCCATGGCTTCAAAAGACTGTAAAGTGATTATTCTAAAACAATATCCTTGTGATAGTATGAAAAAGAAAGAGCTGATGATTCACCTGCAACCAACACAATGGGCTGTTTATCTGGATGAAGCTCCATCTGTCTGGCGATCCAAGGCCCATCAAAGTGAGCATACCACCAGCCCTTCTTCTTATTCTGGGGGTCCTTGTACTGGTCAGCGGGCCGGATGAAAGGAATTCGAAAGTAACGCTGCTGTCGGTTCATTGCAACTTCGTGATGCTGGGTTGTTGTTGGAGGAGCTGGGTTCTGTTCAGCTGCAAAGCAATCATTTGAAAAACAAATGTGTAATACCGGGGGGCGGAGTTCACCATAGAAACAGATTGGTCTTATATAGATTTAACTTGACTTTTCCATGAGCAATGAGAACAAAATAAAATATACATGGAGCTTTACTGCAACAGGACTGAAGAATAAACTAAAAAACCCAACAAAAATAAATGGGAAAACTTAAAAAACAGCTTCTACCATCTTATTAAGACTCTAAATATATCTCGCTGCATCTGTGAATACAAGAATATGATCCAATTTAGAAACAAACAAAATGCAGAGGCCTAATTAGGGGAGCAGAAGTTCGCTTTTAATTTTCCATTATCCATTAAACCAATTACTTGGTTATTTTCGAAGATCTCATTCAGTTTATTACAGTGCTTACATTTCAATGAAGAATTTGCATTTGTCCCTTTTTTTAACATTAAACAGTCATTTATCCATTAGGTTTGTTATAATTAAAATCTTTTCCAAGAGACATTTGGCCAAAAAGGTAGGTGAAACTATAAAAATCTAAATTGACTTTGATTTGTTAAAGGAATAGTACACCCAAAACATGATTAGCCTTCATTTTCTACTCACCTCCATGCTGAACAACACTCTGGAGTACTTTTTTGATATCTCAAATGCATCTGGAGATCTGGGAGGCTTCTTGCTGTCTGCTGACATTCAAATAATGGAGGTCCATGGCGCCCGAGACAGAAAGGTCCATAAAAGTCCACAAAAACGTGTCAATATTCCTCCATACTGCTCGTCCAATGTAATCCAAGTGTCCTGAGTGGGTAGCATCCAGAATTTACTCGAAACGAAGTCATTTAGAATGTTTTTAGAGCATAAACAGTAGTGTATAGGATTTCCTAATAGCGCCCCCATGCGCGCTCACGATTCTACGGAAGCCGGCAGACCAAACCGGAAGGAAGTGCGCATTCAGCGTCTGGTCTGCCGATAATGCAAGCGTAGAAGAAGAAATGTGCTGTTTACCTGTGCAAAGAAAGAAACAACGAAAGAAAAATGTCTGAGGACTTCAGTGTTGAGGAAGAGCATGAGTTCTTTGCCGAGCTGAATGCGCTGGTTTGGTCTGCCGGCTTCCGTAGAATCGTGAGCGCGCATGGGGGCGCTATTAGGAAATCCTATACACTACTGTTTAGGCTCTAAAACGTTCTAAATGACTTCGTTTCGAGTAAATTCTGGATGCTACCCACTCAGGACACTTGGATTACATTGGACGAGCAGTATGGAGGAATATTGACAAGTTTTTGTGGACTTTTGTGGACCTTTCTGTCTCGGGCGCCATAGACCTCCATTATTTGAATGTCAGCAGACAGCAAGAAGTCTCCCAGATCTCCAGATGCATTTGAGATATCAAAAAAGTACTCCAGAGTGTTGTTCAGCATGGAGGTGAGTAGAAAATGAAGGCTAATCATGTTTTGGGTGTACTATTCCTTTAATGAATTTTAAAATTAGAGTTAGAATAGAAAGAATCTAAAAACAAGGTCCAGCTTAAGTTACAAAAAAAGCACCATCAGTTAAAAAAGCTGTATAAATACTTACGTTTTTCAGAGAGATTTAAGATCTCTGCAGATTTCTGCAATTTCCCAGCTTGGGATAAATAAAGTACATCTATCTATCTACGGTACTTTAATCTGTTGAATCTGAATTGAGTAAAGTTTAGACCTAATGCTGCGTCCCTAATGCACCTTGTCACACCTTGCCGATTTAGCCAGCGTATGCCCGACGACCCAGAATCTCTGGAAACACTGGCATACGCTGAACTTTCTATGTATTTTTTCAATTTTATACATAGATTATTAATAACGTCTGTCAAACGAAAGCCTAACTTATGCATAACACATGGCAGCCTAATGCCCATGAAATTATGCACAAGCATCATTGCATCAGCATTACGAAACATCAGTTGCCGGAGGGGAGGCGCCCGGTCTGCACAAAAAGATGTCTTTGATCATAAAAAAAAAGAATAAATAAAAAGAAAAAGAAAGAAAGAAGGTTTGCAGTCGCAGCAGATTCTGTCTGCTGGGAGGTTTGTTGGTCGTGGGCGCGAATGCAGGGAGGATCCATCACACTCACCTTCACGCTCACCCTATGATGGCGATGCAGTCTGCAGGAGAACTTACAGTTTCCCCCCTTTTTATACCAAAACGCTGCCAATACGCCATTATACTATAGCTCTAAGATAAAAACACGTTCAGCGCTCGTCTGGAACACGTAAAATACGTTGATATGTGTTGGAGAGAAGTTCTTGATAAGTCACGCATAAGATCTGCAAAAGTTACTCATAGGTTCTGGATAAGCTAGACGCCACGACTTATGAGTAACTTACACTTAATGTATGTCAATGATCAGACAATTGATCTCTAACTTATGCCCCACTTATGAGCATATGCTGGCATACGTCGGGAAATTTTGAGCTTGCTCAAACTTTCTTGACGTACTTGCTATATGTTGGTGTGCCAGCGTGTTTCAGCGTGATTTAGCGTGTTCATAACTTATACAAAACTGACCCATAATTCATCCAACATATGCCAGCATTTTTGCCGCATTTTTTATACGTCAGGCATACGCTGGTCTAAATCGTCAAGGTGTGACAGGGGCCTAAGACAATAAAAGTATTAATACTAGTTAACGATTATTCACTCACTTCAGCTTTGTACATAAAAACTTTCCTGTGCTGCGTTTAATATGGAAAAAGAAAGCGAATTAAGAACTAACAATCCATCCACACAAAACCCAAACAAAGTTCTGCTACTTTTGATTCTGGCGATGAGAAAATATTATCCAAATGACGGCGCACAGCCGACATGACTAAACCAGGGTTCCTACAGCCAGAGATGGCAAAAGTACTCACTTTCCGTACTTGAGTAAAAGTACAGATACTTGTGTTAAAAAATACTCTGGTAAAAGTGGAAGTACTGATTAAACTTCTTTACTCAAGTAAAAGTAACAAAGTACAGGCTTGTAAATTTACTTAAAGTATAAAAGTAAAAGTAGAAACCACTTTTTTCATGCCGTTGCCTACATTTTAAATGGATGTCTGCCAATAGGACTAGATCTCCGTTGTGTTCATTTTCAATCATCTCGTCGTCCATGCTACTATGCTAACGCCACCGCCACCAAGCTGCAATGATTTGCCGCCAATGAATACCGCCGAATCTGTTGATTCATCTTGTAGTGGTGCGTCAAATGCAACGTAGATTCCCATCCAATTAGATTGAATTTGGTATTGATGACGTGAAAAATAATAACGGTAACTCCATTGAAATGATTCAAAACTAAAGTAACGAGACAATTTTTAAAAATGTAAGGAGTAGAAAGTACAGATATTTGTGTAAAAATGTAAGGAGTAGAAGTAAAAAGTCGCCATAAAAATAAGTAGTAAAGTAAAGTAAAAATATCAGAAAAATCTACTTGAGTACAGTAACGAAGTATTTGTACTTCGTTACTTCACATCTCTGCCTACAGCATAAGGCAAGTTAAATTCAAGACTTTTAGGACTTTTTAATGCCACTTTAAATAAAAATTTAAGACCAAATTCACAAGAAACAAAAGAAAAACCTGCTTGCGACAACTTAACCCAAAGGTTTATTTTAACATAAACCACTGCACTAATGTTTCAAATTTTGAAAAGCTTCCCATACAGGAAGAAAGCTAAAAACACACAAATGACAGATATATTTGAGAATTATTTAACTGAATTCACAAACTTTGTTTTAGCAGGGAACAAAACAAATCAGTTTAAAGCCACAACATAACCAGTGCTAAGTCTTTTTTGCAGCTATTTTTCTTTGTATGGTTTTCTTAGTATGTTTGATTTGGTGATAAGTGGAGGCGCTGCAGAGACAAGGGTGGAACTAAACTGAGAAATACCGGCTGTTTCTCCGTAACTCCATTTTGACGCTTTGTGTTTCGTGCTTCGCATGTGCGACTCCACTGCCTTAATTCCCATCGTTCTGAGCTTGAATGACTTCTTAAACAAAATCCACTGAGCCTCATGTATGTTCCCTGGTTTTAGCCATGGAGAAAACTCTTGGCTGGAGACAATTTTGGTTACTTTTACACTTGCTCATATTTTCCAGACAAAAAGTTAATGGCGCATCTCCCAAATGTTCCCCGGCCGCAACAACGCTTTTATTGGTTCCGCTATCGGGACGGAACCAATAATGGCCGTTATTTTTTCAAAGAAAAAAAAAAAGGTACATTTTAACGTTTTATTAAGATTACAAAATAAATCATAATAAAAATAATCCTATTTATGATGTTTTAAAAATCAAGACCTAAGAAAGACTGATTTAAGACATTTTAATACCAATTAAGGCCTTAGTTTTTTTTTGAAGAATTCAATGCCTTTTAAGACTTTTTAAGGACCCGCGGGAACCCTGTAAACACTGCCGAACTCAAAACGAGAGCCTCATCTTTCATCCGCTGCACCGGTGTTGTGATAATTAATGTTTTCTTGAGCAAATTATTTCCTCCTCTAATTTCGTAGCGCACCTTCTGCAAGGAGAACTTACCTTTTTTTTTATAACACACTTATTCTTAATTATTGTCTTAACAGATACCTGCTTCTTTTCTTACGCATTCTGGCTAGAATGCAAAGCACTTTAACGTAGTGCTGCCAAACTTATGAATAATTTCAGCCTAATTTCATCCGTGTTTTTTTTTTTATTTTTTTGTTCATTTGGAATCTTTCATATGATAAAACCCACTAACTGAATCACTGACTAGAAATCATTTTGCTCCTCTGTCCACCAAAGTAAATGACGCTGAGGAGATAAATTATGAAACCTTATTGTTTTTTTACTTCAGCTCCGACATTCAGCCCAGCACTGCACTACAGCCAGAAAAAAGTATAAAGTAACTATAATAAAACTGTCTATTATCATTATAACTCTGTAACAAAGTCAAATATTTAAAATATTATTAAACAGTATTAAGTGTAAAAAGTTGTCATCTGATATAATAGATTTCCACTGACTATATGAGGAATGTTTTTGATGTTTCTTATATATTCACTTGCAGGGGACTGTATAAAAGAAGCCGACCCCTCACTATAAACCGGGTCCCCTGGACTGGCTCTGATAAAAACTGTCCACTTTGTAGAAAGGTTTCTTGTTGGAAATCTGAAGATCATTTCACTTTGATATTTCCGTTTTTATAAGTTATTTATTGACACTGAGGATTTTCTGTTTATAAACAGTATTTCATAGCTTTACAATTGAATATCTGAAGATTGCTAAACTATCAGAAATGTTCATTGTGCTCAATATGTTGTTTAATATACAGAATAATCAAATTATTTCTAATTATGTCAATAGTAAAGATCAGTGATCAGTAGGGTGTGTAATCCTTTGACCAGTCTAAACTTGATCACTAAGCACCGTGCCATGCTGTGTTCGTACAACGCTACTCTGCACTGCCACTCCACAAATAAATACTCAACCTATAAAACCTATAAAAGAAAACCTGTGTGACCCAACCTGAAGCCATTCAGATTTTCATTCTAAGATTGTACTGCATCAGTGAGATGTTTTATTTTAGATTGAAGACTCCATTATCAGCAGTTATGTATTTCCAATCTAACATTAGAGAAAATAATCCTGCAGTCAGTGTTGAACATGGTTGAGGGTTAAGTTCTCAGTTTTTCCATCAAACTCAGTGATACATAAAATCATGACTCTCTACTTGAACGTGTTCCTACTGCAAGTGTCTAAAGTGCAAATAAGACATTACAACATAGCCTGCTGTGTATGCAGTAGGGGTGGAACGGTTCACAAAATACACGGTTCGGTTCACGGTTTCGTGGTCACGGTTTTCGGTTCGGTATATGCTGATTGTTAGCCCGAAATCCCATAAAAATTTATGAAATTAATGAAAAAAAAAAAAAAATTAGTGAATTGTAATTATTTTTAATGATCCGCGGGAACCCTGGATAATTTCTGCATGTTTTGCTGCTTTTAATTTAATCATCTCGCGCATGCCCTCTACGATCTCCAAGGACCTCAGAGCGGACGGGAGCCACAGCGGAGGCTGTAGGCTTTGCTTTGCGCAGGCGGTCTGGAGCGCAGCGGGACTGAGCGCTGACGGAGTATGAGGGATTTCGGGGTTAGCATGACATGTTGCTGTTAGCATTAACAAAACGTGTTGCACAATGCTTGCACACTGTTGCACTTTTATCCACAACTTTGTTTCAGCCGTCATCGTAGGTCACTCTAAATGCAAAGCGGTCCCATACAGCAGACCTATAAAGTGCTGCTGGCGCGTCTTCCAACTCCTGTTCTTTCCCACTCGCCATACCCACACAATTCTCCACAACAACAGAGTTTTTTCTGCTACACCCGGCTACGCTGCTTCGCTTCGTCTTCTTCTTGTTTACTACTGGTGGTTGGCTTTGGTCGCAGTACCGCCACCTTCTGCTCTGGAGTGTACACGCTTCGCCTATGAGAAAAAGGAGCAGCGCATGAACCGAACGCAACACACGCAAAACGAAACGAGACAGTCGAACCGAACGGTTCGGACGGTTTTCATAAACCGTTCCATCCCTAGTATGCAGAGAAACAAGCCTGTATGACAGCTGACTTGGTTTACAATATGGACGCGTTTCTTCATTCAATCGACAAGAGTATTAATATATATAAAATCAGGTCAACTGGATGACAGGAACAATAAAATACAAACCATAGTCAGTGATGGATTTAGGAGCCCTCATGTCACTCCCGTCGTCATTCTGTTTCTTGTTCTTGGACTTCCAGGCATGGTAAACCTTCAGACGACGGTGAAATTCCTCTCTGCAGGCTGCCAGCAGGTCAATGTCTTTAAAAGTAAAAAATTCAAACAATCAATCAATCAATCAACCAACCAACTCCAACAGTGGGGAATTTCTAAGTACTTAGTCCGAAAGACGATTCGGAGATTATTTATTACCTTCGGCAGTCATCAATCTACACTCTTAAAAACTTTTTAAACTTTTAATATTGTGGAGAGATTCTTTAACAGTTTAAATATTAGTTTCTAAAGTCATGATTTTTTGTGTTAAAGTTAAAATATAATCACACCCAAACCAATTCTTCATGATTTGGTTTCTTGCTGAGCATTAGATTAAATGTTTGTACCCACTCACATCTTTTCATTACGCGTCCAACTGGTTTCACTGCTGGACGTCTAAGAGCAACAAAATTGCCAAAATATGAAGTTAACTGAGAAATGATGGCATTTGGATTTCTCTCAGTGTAACCAAAAGATGATGACAACATGAGAACCAACTAAAATACATTCAAATTAATTCATAATAACATAGCATCTGTTAGATTCCTGATGAGATCCTCATGTAATATCAGTGAAACCATCATAGCTTATTTTCAAATGTTCTCAAAAAGCCAAGAAATAATAATTATCAGTAAAGTTTGGAGAAGTAATAATAGAGAAGCTTCAGTTTGGCTGAGATGGATCAGAAAAAGAACATTTCCTCTCTGCAGATGTGAAAAAATGCTAAACTTTACTTTTTTAGATATCATGTTCACAGCTGGACCCCAAGACTTCTAAAACACACTTTGGCAACTCCAAAAAAAAAAAAAAAAAACAATTAAAACCCGATGGCTTCAAACTATGATGAAGTATTGGAGACATAGCAAAAGAAAAAGTTATTTTATATCGCGAAAAAAATAGTCTACATATCAGGTCTGCAATGATATAATTAAAAAATTACAACAATAAAGCTGCAAAATGAAAAGAATAATGAAATAGAATTACAAGATTGAAGATGTAGCCAACGTTAATGTAACCTAACAAAAAAACAGAGTTTGGTTGAACACTCTGTTGGAGCGTTGGTCCTATTAAAATTAAATTTTTGTCATATCATATTTTGACGTTATTCTCATATCACTATAACTTTATTCTAGTAATATAGATTTCTGTTTAAATAAAGACTTTATTTCTGTAGTATTTTGACTTTTTCTCTTAATATAATGTCTTATTCTTGTAGTTAAACGATAAAAGTCTCAGTAATGCCCTAATACTTCCTCGCACTGCACAGATGGAAAGCCTGGATGTATAAGGTACAACACAGTGGTTTTAATTCCATTTAGTGCCAAAATATTGGAACTATATATTACATAAATTAGTAATAAATTGGGGAAAACAGAAGAAAGGTAGGCTGTACTAGCAGCTTTCACAGCTATATCATCTTGTAATAAAGGATTTAACGCACATACAAGCAAACTAGGTGCTGAAATAGGATTAAGGATTTTCTCACCACAGGAAGTGTTGATGACATCTCGCAGCTCAGCATACTTCCACTTGCTGAGATCATACTTTTTCACACCAGCAGCAGCTTTGGTGGCCTGCACCTGAGGACCTCTATGGTTAGGAACAGATAAAGTTGGATGAGAAAGGCGAAGCAGAACCTGCAGATGCAAACAGGTGATTTGGGAAGCGGAGAGCCGTGGTGATAGGGGGGAATGTTTCCAGAATTTAAAAGCTGATTTTGCATTTGAATTTCAGGACGGGGTCAAATTTTATGAAGCAAACCCAACAGGATCAGAGATAATCTGGTGAGATTCAGACAGCAGATATGGAATGATTCAAACCTGCAATTAAGAGAAATTTTAGAAAACATTGAATCTTTTCGTATCTTTTGTATCATTGATTTGATTTTGAAGAATAGAGAAGAAGGAAAGCATGCTTTTGCTTTTAAATAAAACAGACTGATAGTAACAGATGTCATTTCAGCTACCTAACAGATTGAGTTTTGTCTCCTTCCCTCCTGCTGAGTTGATCCAGCTAATTCTATATGAGGAAAGAAGGGACTTGCCTCTCCTAATTACAGTCAGCATAGTATCCCTGGATAAGGGAGCTGTTAATCTATGAATCATTAGATTATCTTTTAGAATTCTTACTGACTGGAGAGGTAAAATGAGTTCAGGATCCTTATCATTCTGTTTGTGACATGTGCCGGTGTGCAAAGGTTGTAAATCTGAAAAGCCTTGATAAACATGTAAGAAGAAGCCGAGGCAACGGTCAGCTTTTGGCTCCTGCAGCAGGTTAACAGGAAAACAGGAGGCCTCTCAGAGTTCATCAGCTGATCTTAAAGACAAGTCTGTATACTTGTACTGCACCAAAGCTCTCCTCTTTACACATGCTACACAGATTTAACTATAATAAACACAATATCTGTTTTCTTCAAAGCTCAGATGAATAGCAAAACCACTTTGCATTTATTCCCTTACAGACTTAACATTTTATTGTGCTTTTGACACTTACAGTAGACCCAAAATGGGTCAATTTCATAATTTTTTTTCACTTTTAATGAGTCTTTTTTTTAGACACTTCAGTCCTTAACATAAAACTAATTTATTTGTTTCTTTTCCTTTTCAATCATAATAAACCCTAAATTTTTAAGGAAATTCAGCATTTAATGTTACACCCTTAAATAAAGCTCCACTATGGTCAGGAATATTTTATCTTTCCCGGTTCTCCCTTTGTTACCCCTTCTTTCCTGTGCTGAGACATGAGGTCAAACAGAATTGAGATCCCTGGAGGAATATGCAGACTAGCTATGAAGCACCTGAGTCTGAACGAGTAGAAACTTCCAAAACCTGGAATAGCATCCTGCCTTTATTCCAATACTAGGAAAAAACTCTCCCGTTAGTCCAGTTTGGAATTGCAGCAGAGATGTAATGATAAATGGTTTAATGAAACAAGTGGATCAACAAACCTCTCAGATGAACAAAGCAGCACCATTCAGTTCAATTCAATGCAATTTAATTCAGTTTAATTTATTGAAATTGTGTTCAAATCATAAATGGGAAGGAAAATTACATCTAATTTTTTAAATGGGTTTAAAACTACTTTTAATTTATAATTCAACCAAAAACATGAACCTAATAATTAAAGATGATCTATAAGAGGCAGCTGGTCAATAGCGGGCGCCACCCCATCCACCCAATGACCTTGAATAAGACATAAAAAAAAACAAATAAAAATGAAATTATACAATTAAAATATTTCCAAAAATATTAATATATTTTTAGATGTGCAAAACAAATATTTAATCTTTAATGACAAGTAAAGCTGTTTCGTTTGTCGTCAGATTGGTGACGTTTTTCCACCCTGGGGCATAAAAATCTTTGGCTATAGCTTTCATTAAAAGTTTTTATATGCGCAGTAGCTCCTCTGCAATACAGAAGTATAGGACGTCTTGGGGCGCAGGAGAGCTGCACCCTGAGCTGACAGGAACTGTCGTCATAGTTGTAGTGCGGCGGATAAAGAGGACGAGTCACGGAAGTGAAGTCCCTTAAAGCAAACTTAGCAAGAGAAGCTGGAAGTGAAACTGTTTGGACCTGATCAGCCGCAAATTTAAATTAATCAGCAGCCAAAGACAGATGGAGACGGTACATGCTGTCTTTTTCCAGAACCTGGTTTAGGTTAACCTGACTCCGCCAGATGGATTTGCTCTGCATATCCATCTGAAAACCTTCTGTTGAAGTAATTTTGGGAAGGGGCGAAAATACTGGTTAGCTGATTGGCCTATGTTGGTGATAGACGGGCCAAATAAACCAATCAGATCAATCATATGACGTACTAACTGAGCGGCGACGAAAACACAACCACAAGCCAGGCTACTCTTGCCGAAACCAGTCGGGAGAAGAGCAAAAACATCTTTTCCTCTGAGAAAAGCCTCCAGAGCAGTGTTTTGCTCTTCTTTCAGTGAAGAAATACTCTGTAATTCCGATAAAACTTGCTAGTTTCATCGGCTGAAGCCGCCATGTTCTTTAGACTGAACTGTCGCGCTTCTCGTTGCGTCACACCTCAACCCGCCTCAAAACCAACGCTGATTGGATGTTCGTTTTGGTGAACGGCTCCAAATTTTCTTTAACGGAGAGTCTCCAGACTGATCTGCGAGTGAAACCTTGAAAGCTTGCGAGATCAGGATGATCTCGCAAGGCTAGGTTTAGGTACAAGAGTTGGCTAACTGCATGCAGCAAAGCTAAAGCTTTTTTCTGCTTTCCCTGCCTCCTTTTCCAAACGTCAGGATCTGACCCAGCATGGATAAAGACAGGTAGAACTGATTTAAAGCACTTTTTAGAAAAGGAAAGAAGAACGAACAATCTGGGATTCAAAGTGAAAATAATGTAGTATAGTGTACTCTTTCTAGATGTTTGATCATTTACATAGTTGCTCTTAAATAAGAGCAACTATAGGTTTATATTAAAAAAAATATGAAGCTGACTAATGGCTTCTCCATTATTAAACTGGTACATTAGTTTTTTAGATTTGTGATACCATATTGGACCATACAAAACACAGATTTGCCTTTACAAAGCCTCAGAAGGGCAAGATTTATGTACAAAAAATAAACCTGTAGATGAAATTATGTTTTTATTTTAATAAAGTGTTTTCAAATGTCTTCATGTAAATATACTGGTGTCAAAACTTTGCTAACTATACGTTGGATTGGTTTTTGGTATACGTCTATTTTGAATTTATAGCCCCCCCCTGTAATCTATATGATCTAGATAAGCACACTAGGCTGAGTCTTGGGGCTGTGAAGAAGCTAAGTGTTTTACACCTACTAATACAGACAGAGGTGAGTAAAGCAGTAATTACCACAGTAAATTTTTGATTTTGGAAGTGGATCTATTGACTGGAAAGTCCAAGAAAGCTTGAAGGCACTCTTTTACCACCTCACCGTGATTTCAAAAAATCAGTTCAATTAGAGAGACAATAGGATCTTATGTATTCGGATTTCATTTTCACCCATCTTAAAATTAGATATGACAACATTTGAGCATAAGAAAAAAAAATCACCATAGAATCATTAATACAATTATTTTTAATAACCTCAACAACTTTGTCTTAAAGTCGTAGGGAAATGGCTGTTCAGACTGTTGCATTTCTGAATTCTCCTGAGTGGTGCACGACTTTACACGACTGTACAAAGTAAATGTGATTGGTTGTTTATCAAGAGGGAGGGGTTCTTGAGACGGAAGGTTTGCAAGCTTTTTGGTTGTGGCCGGTTTGCTGGAAGCATCTTGCTAACCAGGTAGCAACTTAGTGCTAGTAGGTTACCAATGGGAAATGCCATTTGGACCAAGTAGCACTAAATTGGTGACTTAGCAAACGACACTGTCAAGGAACGCTATGGACAGTGGAAACATGCAAGAGGAGGAGAGTTTAGTGTAGGAGGTCGTGGATGAGTCTCCTCCGTCATCCATTTTTTATTTAGAGGAGGAAAGCAGGGAGGAAGATGCTGTGGAAGAGGACGCCAGGGCGGCAGAAGCTTGGTTTGGTGTAGAAGGCTTCCAGCCGTACATGTTTGAGCCCTTGCCTCGCAACACTGCCAGTTCTGTTAGCTCTACGCCTGCAGAAGACACAGACGTCCATCCCCGTGAACACTGGGACGGAACTTAATGGGAAAGGAAATGATTCTTAATTCAACCGTTGCGTACATTAGCTGCGAAATATGAATTAAGATGCTATGACAGAAAAAAACTGATTGACAGATGACCGTTGATTTATGATTGGCCGAATTTAGGTGTTCAGGCTGACATATAACTAACTGGCCTGCATGAATTAACAAAAAAAAAAACAAACAAACAGATATTTTAAGACAGGATTTAAAAAAAAAAGAAATCAGACGATACTGTCCCTAAATTTTGGGACAATATCGTCTGATAAAGAGTACAAATATACATGTTTAAGCCAGAATAATTTGACATTTAAAAATGCTTTCCCTACGACTTTAACAATCAAAAATTACTCTTTTTACTGTGGCAGTTTACTCTTGTATTTATTTCAAGTAGCAGATAAATGCTACAGCAGGGATTAGAGGAGTCTAGAAGTAAGTGGACATCTATGACTGGTGTTAGTTACACCTGTTTCAGGTATCTTACATGACTCTGGCTGAGGATGAAGAAATAGGAAGACCTAAATAGAAGTCATCACTGGAAACAAAAAAGGGAACAGGTCAGTTACTTATGCATGCCCTGGTCAGCATGGGCCGGCACTGCATATTCACTGTGTAAACAAAGGTTCATGTACTCTGCACCATGCACAGACCCCATTTAACCATTACCTGCGCAGGGCGGCATCCAGCTGGCCCTCTTCACTGATGAGTTCAGCCTCACTTTGAGCGATTCTCATGGCTAACTCCCTGTCTCTTCTCTCCTGTTCTAATACGGCAGAACGCTGGACCTGCTCCTCGCGCTCCAGAGCCAACTGTGCTTCCACTTCTGCCTGTTAACACAAAGACCACAAAACAGATTTGATATATAACCTACGTTAGCTACCCCCCGTCAAATATATCAATGCTACTTTGAACCTTTTTTGTTATTTTCCCTTATGTTGATGTGATGATGAAGCCAGAGTCAGAACAAAGGAGCTGTATCAACTCTAGATGTTTGAATAAGTTGCTAAAGAGTGAGTGTTTAAAAAAGGAAAGGGGCTGCACATTGGTTTGCATGGAGGAAATCTTTGCTTTTTAAGGAACAAAATTTCCCTGACAGCATGTAGACAAAGGAAAAGCCATCTTAGGCTGCCAAACAAAACTACACTCACCGGCCACTTTATTAGGTACACCTGTCCAACTGCTCGTTAACACTTAACTTCTAAGCAGCCAATCACATGGCGGCAACTCAGTGCATTTAGGCATGTAGACATGGTCAAGACAATCTCCTGCAGTTCAAAGCGAGCATCAGTATGGGGAAGAAAGGTGATTTGAGTGACTTTGAACGTGGCATGATTGTTGGTGCCAGAAGGGCTGGTCTGAGTATTTCAGAAACTGCTGATCTACTGGGATTTTCACACACAACCATCTCTAGGGTTTACAGAGAATGGTCCGAAAAAGAAAAAAAACATCCAGTGAGCGGCAGTTCTGTGGGCGGAAATGCCTTGTTGATGCCAGAGGTCAGAGAAGAATGGCCAGACTGGTTTGAGCTGATAGAAGGGCAACAGTGACTCAAATAACCACCCGTTACAACCAAGGTGGGCAGAAGAGCATCTCTGAACACACAGTACATCGAACTTTGAGGCAGATGGGCTACAGCAGCAGAAGACCACACCGGGTGCCACTCCTTTCAGCTAAGAACAGGAAACTGAGGCTACAATTTGCATAAGGTCATCGAAATTGGACAATAGAAGATTGGAAAAACGTTGCCTGGTCTGATGAGTCTCGATTTCTGCTGCGACATTCGGATGGTAGGGTCAGAATTTGGCGTCTACAACATGAAAGCATGGATCCATCCTGCCTTGTATCAACGGTTTAGGCTGCTGGTGGTGGTGGTGTCATGGTGTGGGGAATATTTTCTTGGCACTCTTTGGGCCCCTTGGTACCAATTGAGCATCGTTGCAACGCCACAGCCTACCTGAGTATTGTTGCTGACCATGTCCATCCCTTTATGACCACAATGTACCCAACTTCTGATGGCTACTTTCAGCAGGATAATGCGCCATGTCATAAAGCTGGAATCATCTCAAACTGGTTTCTTGAACATGACAATGAGTTCACTGTACTCAAATGGCCTCCACAGTCACCAGATCTCAATCCAATAGAGCATCTTTGGGATGTGGTGGAACGGGAGATTCGCATCATGGATGTGCAGCCGACAAATCTGCGGCAACTGTGTGATGCCATCATGTCAATATGGACCAAACTCCCTGAGGAATGCTTCCAGCACCTTGTTGAATCTATGCCTTGAAGAATTGAGGCAGTTCTGAAGGCAAAAGGGGGTCCAACCCGTTACTAGCATGGGGTACCTAATAAAGTGGCCGGTGAGTGTATATTTTCTATTTTCCTTCCTGGCTGCAGCATATTTTTCCTTTATTAGAGAACACTAAGCTTTATGCAAACAGTGCAGCACCGAAAGAGAAATGCAGCAAAACTACCAAGTATTTACCAGAAGATATTTTTTTTGTTTGATATCTAAATGCAAAAAAGTGGTTCTATGATAAACCAAACATAATTCTTTATTGTAGGATTTTCAACTCATCTAGTTTCTTTCATTCATTTTTTACTCATTATCATGCAGGACGGGCCAATTATCTGACTACCAATAGATCAAATCTGACAAGGGGATTAGGGAGATTTATTAGTCAACTTTCTAAATTAATTTCAGCAGTCATTTTTGCACACATTTGCTTCACAACTTGGATAACAGAAAAAAAAAATCACATGGTTTTAGTTCCAAACCTGAATAACTTTCTCCTCTTCCTTTCTCTTTTTTCGTTCTTCCTCTTCCTGCTTTCTTTTTGCTTCCATCTCTGCTTTGCTAAAATGTAAAAAAAAATTCTCATTAAAGAGAAGGAAACAAATTAAAGTAACCAAATACATTGCATAACTTATAAAACACATCAGCAGTTAGATTTGAATACTTTCCACTCACAGTCTCCTGTCCTCTTCCTCCTGTCTACGTCTCTGCTCTTCCTCCTCCCTCCTCCTCCTCTCTTTCTCCATCTCCTGCTCGATGTGTTTCAGTCTTTCTGTCTCTTCCTCTTCCCTCTTCTTCTTTTGCATGGACGATAGAAGCTGTTCAGAGCGTTTCACCAGCCCCTGGTACTCTGCGTTGATCTCTTTCCAGGTTATCACCTTTGCCTGGAGGTCAAACATGTAAGGTCACACATGCCCCATGTCCAAACTCAGTGGATGATGCAACCAATTTGACCACAGTTAAAATTAAGACATGTTTTAAGATTTACAACTTAAAACGTAAAGATTTGTAATTAGAAAACATGAATAGAGTCCAATCATCTCTGCATATATTTAAAAAAAGTAGATAATTAAATGTAAAACAAGCTTCTCTACCATAATAATGGCTTAAAGCATGAATGGGTAATAAATTAGTTGTTTCACATGAGCAAATGAAGCAGCACTCTTTAGAAAAAAAGACATTGACCCCCAAAAATATTTTCCATATGAAATAATTCGGCTTTAGGTGTATTGAAAAATGCAAACAAAAAATTTGAGGACAAAATCAGGCAGCTTATTCCTTGGAGAATGAACTTCAAAAGAAAGCAAACAACAAAGGACAGAGGTAACATACAGACATGGCTTCATGGCTGTTTTTATGAACACTACGGATTTCTGCTTTCTGTGTGTCCAGCTGTGATCCAGCGTTTGCACAGGACAAGTGAACAGCAGGACTTAAAGAACTCTTACAACAGAAAAGACCCCAAAACAGGAGTAAAGCAATAACCTTTATACTGTGCCATGCAAACACTGATGGGAGGTCAAATAATATTGCAGCACAGCTTGAGGACAGTTATCATGAAAGTGCTTGGCATCTTAATGAGGAGGTTGACAAAACAAACATTCCATCTAAGCTCATTGATTGTAGAAAATTTTAAACCGCTAAGAGTCTGGGCTTGGAGAATTTTTGGACTAATCCTTATGAGGACATGTACCAAAACTATTCACATTTTGTTACCTGCATGAAGCAAAGCTAGAGATAAAGATAAATAAAAAAAAGATAGAAGAAAAAAATTATGTTTTTTATGTGCATACAGTATGCATTAGTGTTTTTTTCTTCAGAGATTAGAGGCTTTTTTGCTTTTTTTCAATGCTGAATTGTTAGTAAAGCTCATGTTAAAAAGGCAATTGTGTAACTTTGGACCTATCATCGATGAGGTTTAGGTCTTTGCAAGTGTTCACAGTTATCTATTTTATTCTTCTATTTATGTCACTGACAGTCAGTTAGGTGAAACAGGCAAGGTTCAGGCGGAAAACAATCGAAATCTTATGTCATTCTCAGAATTAATACGTCCTTTTAACAGACTTGTACTCCTAAATATCTTCTTTGATGATAATTGGGGCTATTTAGAAAACAACTAATAGTAAAAAAGTACATTTCTGTCTGCTTTTTAAGGCTCTTTTTAACCCTATAATGCCAAATGTATCATATTTGATACATACGGTTTCTGAAATGTTTTGTGTCTGACACCTTTTGCATAATTTAATGGTAAAAACTTTGCTCAAAATCCTATTGTACACAATCAGATATACCTGATAACAGCGGGCAGAAGACTACACAAAAAATAATCTTGACTTATCGCATAGTAATAAATTATTAATATCAAAAATGTATTTCTCTTTTTTCTTTTTACATATTTTGTTAAAAGGCCAAATAAGGACTTCAAACCAAAAAAAAGTAATTTTCTGTTTTGTTTTATTCTTGGATCAGGCTTTAAAGGGTTAAGGTTTCAAAATACAACTGTCTCAAAAGTGCAGCTAAAAGTGACTGCTTGGTAAAATGGTAGGATGGTACAGAGTTTGGGCAGGAAGGGGTTGAGTTACACTACCAAACAACTGATCATGCTACTTTTTAGCTGGAAAATGGAAAAGAAAGGAAATAAACCACTCAAGCATGCATTCATTGCTGGAAGTCTTAAATATGGTTTTACTCTTGTTTTTTTTATCTATTTTAATCTGTTGCTTGATGGCGATTTGCCTAGATACTCAAAAGACTTGCCTTCTCAGTAGAAATGTCATAATTATTTGCCTCACAACATCCAAACAAAAATATGGGATTAACAGGGCGGCGATCATTTTCGGCATATTTTGTCTATCTTCTGTGCTGCTTTGTGGCTTGTTACCTTTTCCTTAATTGATTCTTTAAAAATGTCTTTATTTCAAACATTAGAATAAATATAACAATTTTAAGCTAAGGCCCCGTCCACACGAAGTCAAACCCTGGCCTAAATTCACAAATTTTTCACCAAACCAGCCTCTCATCCATACGAAGCCGCCGTTTCGGGGGTCTGTAAACAATCTTTTTTTTTATTAAGCCTTCAGAGTGGGAAGGTTTTGAAACGCCGTTTTTGCATTTCCATCTTTAAGCTCTAACCGCATTTTTTTTCTTACACGCATGCGTCATAGCGTCGCCTCTAAACACGCATGCGCGACACAGTATCACAACAACAATGGCGCCGTACTGTGTTGAATGGTTGCTGCTCATGCTACTCACCCTGCTGTCGGGCTTACAACAGAATCTTCTTCTTCTGGAATATCTCCAGGAAGAACAGAGCAATATAGACGACATAGTTCAGCACCTGAATTTGACTAAACCACGAAAATGGACCCGCAGGGCCATTTTCCGGTTTTCCGGTTTGGTTGTTGTATAAATATTACTGCGCATGCCCAACATTTCGTTGCCTGTTTTCGCCTATTTTTGCTTTGGCACCACAGCGCCACTTACAGGCCTGGCATACATTTTGCAGGGTTTTCATGCATTCGTGTGGACGATCACATTTATTTTACGTCTCCGTCTTTACGGCAAACGTTCTGGAAAATATTAGCGTTTCATGTTCGTTTTGACTTCGTGTGGATGGGGCCTAAGAGATAGAAGACAAATAAGACAAAAATGGTACAAAGGATATACTTAACACACCTAAACCTAAAGGTGTTTTTTCAGGATGTGGTTCCCTTGAGAAGCATTACGACATGATTTTTTTTGACTAAGTCAGACAGGATAAAAAGTATATTCTCCAATAAAGTGAATCAGGATAGTGGTTTTGAAAAGTATGTAGTCATGGCATCTCATGTGGTCTTGTTAAACACAGAGTGACAACATGTCTGTCAGTTGCATAACAGACAATTTCCCCAAATATGAGTCAGGCAGTGAGGAGAGGTCAGTGAATAAGGATTCATTAAGATGAGTTTCAAGCTTTAAAATGAGGAGGTAGGAGACCAAGGTTTTGTCCCAGATGTACAGCGGACTGCTATTGGCATCGTATATATTATTTATGCCACGTCAGGTGTAGATGCTAAACCTTCAGAATAACATACGTGTTTTACAAAGGGGACGCCAACAGAGCAACAGTTAACATGGAAAAAAAGCGTTTGTTGCTAAGAGAGAGACTAAGAAACCAGGTCAGGAGCTCCTTAGTGTCAATCAGAATACCACTGAACACTATAATTACATTCAGTGATTACATACTGGGAACTACAGAGTACAAAAATGGCATCATTGCTACAGAGAATTTTGAACACCAAATCCAAATAGCATGAAATCGTATTTCTGATTATTTGCTGTGCCTTAAGGATTCAGTAATAAAAGGTTCATATTGCATGGGGAGAGCTGGGATTTACATATCCAACTGTGATTGATCACTCAGCAAAAACAAATTCAATAAATTAAATTATTGGAGGTATGCAGAGTCTTTTTTATAAGCTCTTCCCCATCAAAAGTGGATTTAAAGCATTGATTTTTGAAAAAAAAAAAGAATAAGAAAGAGGCATCTTTATACCTCTAAATGTACATTAGCAGCCACATAAAATGAGCCAATTGGACACAACATGCTACCTATATTCAACAACAGGGTAAAAGCGATTTTGAATTCTAAGACTCCTTTAACAGCCGCATTTGATTAGCGAATGTATGACTTTAAATGTTCAGTTCAATTTTAGTTTTTGCTCATTGAATTGCAATGCTATGCATGCATTAGATTCAATACACACATGAAAATAAAATCCATAACAGAAATGCATCATGAATGCAACTTGCTCTGAATTAACATACTGACATGCTCTTTTTATTTGCTTAATCTTTAGTAGAACGTTTTCAAAATGTTTTATTCAGGCTTCATGCTTTATATCAGGCTCTACTCCTGTGAATCAACTACCAGTCTGTGAAGCAGACACCTTGTCTACTTTTAAAGGTAGGCTTTAAACTTTCCTTTTTAATAGAGCTTAGTGTTAGATTATCCTAAGCTATCCCTATGGTTATGCTGCTATAGGCTTAGACTGCTGGAGGACATACTGTAGGGGAAACCTCTCATCATTCTATCCCTATTCTCCTGTTGTGCAGTATTTCTACGTTCTCTGTAAAGTGCCTTGATTTGACATGTGTTGTGAAATGGCGCTAAATAAATTACTGAAATGAATTAATACAATGTGCCTACTTGTTATTTAAACCTGCTCAATGAATTCTATCTTTCACTGTAAAGGAAAAAAGACAACTTTCGTTAAGGTACAGTAGCAGATAAAGTAGTTGCTCCTATAGCCAAAAAGGACCTGTGGGGATGGAATGTTGGAGAGGTTTCGTTTTTTGGAAGAGACTCAGTCGGGGCCTTTTTTCTCCCAGCTAGTGCATGTTTACCTTGTTTTGCTTTTCAAATAGTCAGAGCTCTATTTTCCAAACACAAAGTCCCACAAACTGACAATGCATGCATCTGCAAGCCAGCTGTCCACAAAGCAGGGGAAACCAGCATTTTAATACAAGAATAGCAACAGCTGGAGAATACAAATGATGGAGGCCTTGAAAGTGTTTTTAAGACACATAGAATGCTGGAGTTCTGGATTAAAGTCGTGGCAGAGTACCCTGAAATCTCCACAACAGCACTGAAAATCCTGTTGCTATTGGCGTCATAACTATGTGAAGCAGGTTTTTCTGCAATGACAAAATTACAGAGCAGACTGGACGTAAGGAGCACACTTAAGATGTCAATTGTCTTCCATCACCCTTAGATGGAACCAACCAGTTCAGAGAAACGATACTAGAAATTAATCAATTTGATGCATGGCAATGCTCCATCATATGCACAGAAGTTCTCCACCCAGTAGCTTTCCAGTAAAGGTCTTAAAGATAAAAAATTAAAAAAATTGACATGTCCTCCTTCTACAGATGATCGAAATTCTATTTGGAATCTCCAAGTTACTCATAAGTAGAATATTTGTAGTGAAATCAAAAAGTCCTTCTCTTCAAGCAATGTGAGAGGCTGTGATTTAAGCTACATAAAAAAGGATTATTAGCACATAAACAATCTGTTATAAAAAGGATAGTTGGCTAAAATGGTCAAGTCTTTTCATGTATAATGTGTGTACATTCTGAGTTATTTGTTTATAATTATAATTCTGGAAGTTTAAATGAACAAGTTAGATTAAAAGTACCGTAAATTCCAGACTATAAGCCTCTACTTTTTTCCTGCTGTTTGAACACTGCGACCTATAATACAGTGCGGCTAATACATGTTTTTTTTTCATGGTGTGAAAAACAGACCAATAAAATTGATGAGTATTCACAGTTCTCAATGCATGGCGCCGTGTGAAAACATCCAGCATCACCGGCGGGTTTCGAAAGGCTGGGCTGCTGCGGGATGAAGAGGACCGCGGGTGCTCAAGTGAGAGCGACAAGGATGAGACTGAAGTCAGTGACGGCATCCTGAAGCTGTTCCATTCAGACACAGAGGAAGAGGACTTTGACGGTTTTAGTGCGCAGGAGGAAGAAGAAAGTGATTAAAGACTTTTCCTGGTCGGCTGCAATGTTCTGTGCGTTGTTCAATTAAAAGTACCGGTATATGCAGCGTTATTTGCGTTTTACCGACACATACCTATATTTAAATGTGTAACAGGTAGTTTGAAAAAAAAAAAGCATTCATAATATGTACCATATTTGTTTGTTTTATCATACGGATTAAATCAAATGTTAAAAAAATGCTCACGTGTAATATCTTTATTTGTAAATATCTCATACAACGTGGGAAACCTGCGGCTTAAAATCCGGTGCGGCTTATAAAAGTACAAAATTGATTTTCTTTCTAAAATTAGAGCGTGCGGCTTGTAATAAGGTGCGCTCTATAGTCCTGAATTTAAGGTATATATTTTTTATTTTTCTACTTTTTTTTGCCAATAATTCTGCCTACATAGATATTCCCCTAGAAAAACCTAAACCTCACTTTTAGACATCAGATGTTTGTTAAAATCATGGATTGACAGAGACCTCCCTAGTTGTTCAGTAATGAAAGTCCTTACAGCATGTTGCACTTTTAAAATGTCCCTTTTCCATACAATTATTCAAGGTCAGAGATGGCAGAACCTTAATGAAAGGACTGATTTACCTTTATTTTTGCTGAGAGAGCATCTATGGCAGCAGACAGCTGTCCAACTTGTTTGGCCATCTCCTGTTTTCCTTCTTTGAGGCCATTCACCACTTCGTTGAAGCGCTCTATGTGTTTCTTCAGCTTTTGGACTTTCACCAGACCTTCAATCCTGTGTCAGAAAAGCAGAATAACAGCTTATACATGAAACTCAGACTTTATGAAACTTCACTCATTTCATTATGAATGTTTTTTTTTTCAAAAAAAAATAAGACATACCACAGCTATTTCATGATTCAATGAGTTTAATCAGCTTCTGGTATTTATTAAAGCTGAGGGTGTAGGGTGCACATGTGTGAATGGTGGATTCTGCTTTGAGCTTTAGCTGCGTTTATACTTAATTTTTATACTTTTTCTTAACAAGAAAGCAGTAGATCAGTCATGTATTAGTGCAATCGTGACTGCAATCGAAAAATGATGTCGTATACAGTGGTAATGATCTGTATTATTAATAGGGTTTTGCGCCTGGTCACTGTGAAGAAATCTGATAATTATTTCAGTTTTTAAAATTTTTGTCTTCCGCTTCATGTGGCACCGGGTCACGGTGGCAGCAGTGGCTCAATAGAGACTCCCAGACTACCCTCTCCACAGACACCTCCTCCAGCTCTGCTGGGGGAAGCCAGAGGCCAGCTGAGAGACACAGCCCTTCCAGCGTGTCCTCCTGGGTCGTCCCCAAGGACTCCCGGCGGGGCAGGTGTTCAGGGGACATTCGAAAAAGCTCTTCTCTGAGCCTCTCCTGAATGACCGAGCTCCTCACCCTATCTCTAAGGGACAGCCAAAAAAAACTACATACATTATTTACAGCTCCTGTAAAGCTAACCAGGTTACTGCTAAGGGACTTGGCGAAAACGTGATTTCTACTAAAAATCAGTAGCAGTTTATTTCACAGCATTTTATGCATGTAGCAACACTTGCACTCATGATTGACTGATTTACTGCTAAACTAATACACTTCTTTTTGCCTTCTTAGACATAGAAATTCTCACTTTTAAGCATGAATAAAAAGTTTGGTAAAGCTGGAAGCAGCATGAACGATTAACACTTGTATATCTTACAAATATGACATGAAGCAAACCAAAAAAAATAAGCAAACAGAGACAATGTCTTGTTCGCTTTGGGATACGGCAAACAACACACAGTGAGGAGAGTTTGCAGAACATGAAGACGTCTGCTGCTTTCTTCAATTTGATGCTGCATTAAACAATAGGTGTCTTGAAATCAGTGTCAGGCATAGAGAGCCTGAGTGCATGAAATTAACAATAAATGATGATCTAACACATTTTCGCCATGTGCATGTTGCGTAAACTTATCATGCAATGAAAATAATTTTGCAATGTATTGTGCACCCCCATTCAGAACAGTTGGATTTGGGGAAAGATATCCCACCTCATTAGGGTAAACCAGTTCCAATTGGGAGAAAACAACAACCGTGGCTGAAAGAGAAGGAAAACTCACCGCGGCTTATGCTTCTTCTTACACAGCCACATGCGGACAGTCTTTTGTATCTTAATGCAAGCCAAAGCTCTGTACTGCATTTTATTCCTCACTGTTGTCGGTAGGAAAGGAAAGAGAACAACATACATAAATAATTAGTTATTAGAAAATAATTTGCTTATTTTAAGTTTGAGATAGAAGAAAAGTCAACTTTTAATCGGCAGATTTTCAGTCAATCTTCTGAACTTAAATCTGAACATGCTGGTGAAGGTTCTCAGCCATCCAGGTCATCTGAACATGTATTTTTATTCACACTAAAGCAGCCATAATTCAATGAAATAATAAAACAATACATGGCTGCAACTCGGAGAAAACCAAAGTGTTTGTTCATGCAAAGCTGTAAGAAATGAAACACTGAAGTCAGCTGGCTTGTGGTGAAACACTAAAAATTAATCACTTGGTGTTGAGTGCGGCAAGGCTGTACTTCAGTGATGTTCCTTAAGGCTGAAGGCTGTTTGGTTTAATATTCAAAAAGAAATGAAAAGTGATACAGCCCAAGGCCTCCTTTGCATTTGATGCTACAATAAAAGACATAGAAGAAGAACTAGAATATAAGAAGTAAAGCTTTAGCTTCAACACTAAGACTTTTGCAGACATTAACTTAGTTTTTATGATATTTTGAGAAGTTAAAGGACAACCATTAGCATTAGATTTGCTAATATATATATATATTTTTCATTTAGTAAACTTCTGATTTTGAAATACCTCTTCTTAAAAATAGATTGCATTTATTTAAATTGTTTGACTTTGGTTTGACAATCCTTTCACATGATTCACGTAGTTAATGGCATTGGGGCACATTTTTCCACAGGGTTCCTACAGCGTAATGCAAGTTAAATTCAAGACTTTTTAAGACTTTTTAATGCCACTTGAAATAAAAATTTAAATCAAATTTTGAAAAGCTTCCCATACAGGAAGAAAGCTAAAAACACACAAATGACAGATATATTTAAATAACTGAATTCACAAACTTTGTTTTAGCAGGGAACAAAACAAATCAGTTTTAAAGCCCCAACATAACCAGTGCTAAGTCTTTTTTGCAGCTATTTTTCTTTGTATGGTTTTCTTAGTATGTTTGATTTGGTGATAAGTGGAGGCGTTGCAGAGACAAGGGTGGAACTAAACTGAGAAACACCGTCTGTTTCTCGGTAACTCCATCTTGACGCTTTGTGTTTCGTGCTTCGCATGTGCGACTCCACCGCCTTAATTCCCATCGTTCCGAGCTTGAATCGCTTCTTGCACTAAATCCACTGAGCCTCATGTATGTTCCCTGGTTTTAGCCATGGAGAAAACTCTTGGCTGGAGACAATTTTGGTTACATTTACACTTGCTCATATTTTCCAGACAAAAAGTTAATGGCGCATCTCCCAAATGTCCCGGCCGCAACAACGCTTTATTGGTTCCGCTATCGGGACGGAACCAATAATGTCAATTTTAATGTTTTATTTATATTACAAAAATAAATCATAATAAAAATCCTATCTATGATGTTTTAAAAATTAAGACCTACGAAAGACTGATTGAAGACATTTTAATACCAATTAAGGCCTTAGTTTTATTTGGAAGAATTCAATCCCTTTTAAGACTTTTTAAGGACCCGCGGGAGCCCTGTTCCAGACAGAACTTGCGGAACTGGTCCAGGTTTGTAACCTGTCTTACTCACACAGCAAGATGATTTTATCACTGTTTTAGCTTTGAGGATGATGTTTTGTGGCAGCCACAACAAAATATGGACTTCATTGTCCATAAGATGATTTGTAACTAACATACTGACAGGCTGAAGGTCAACGTTTGCTCTGGGGTTGATTCACATATTTCTCACAAAGACCCTTTTATTTCTGGGACACTTAACCTATTTCCCCCTGGGACATCAGACAGTCATTCCCATGGTGTTTATTCTATTATTGTTAGATTAGATTAACATGGCACCTCATGACCTCTAAAGACCAACAGTTCTTCATCTAATATCTCACTGATTTCTTTTGACTAATACAAATCTTGTTGCATGTTTGAGGGCTTGCCTTGCCTAAGGTTGGGCTTTAAGTTAACTTGGAAACAATTGCATCAACATCTGTGCTTTCCAAAATGGGTTAAAGTAAAACAAATCCTAGTGTTTGTAATCTGAATGATCTCTGAAAGGAAACCTTTTCTATATTAATTTTTGTATAATAATTTGTTCATCTAAACTGGTCTAAAATTAAAAACTTTGCTTTCAATTTATGTTGAAAAAAAAAGAAATGTTTAAGCTCCAGCCTACCAGTTCTGTAGCTAGATTTTTATCAAAATTTGAAATTATTAATAAATGCTCATACAAAGAGTGAGCTGGTTTAACACAAATACATCAGATTTGGGAGATTTCACAGCACAACACTTGTTTCTTTAACCCACATTTGATGACAGACAGGCAGCACCACTGGACCTTCTTCCAACAACTGCACAACAACCACTTGTTGACTTTCTTCAGCAGCTCTGCGAGATGTTCTGGATCCGACTTCATGATCTGGTCAAATTCTGCAAACTGAACACACATAGAGCGCCGTGCCACCCTTTACAACCTTCATCAGAAGGATTTCTGTTACAAACGTCCCAACTACGGTTATATATTACCTTTCCTGGGCGGAAGAACACTTTCGTTAATCCAAACTTGAAGTCATTATCATTAAGTCCCAAAGCTTTGAACAAGGCCTGTGAAGGATCAATTCTACAGTCAGTCCCTTATAAATAATCTATTCCAGGCTGTCAAAATATCTTTTTAATATTTCTTTTCAGTTTAGCATTTTTGCACTAAACAAAGGTTTATTGTTTATTTAATCAACAGCAAAACAGGATTCCTGCAGTAAGCAACATCTCACCTTGCAGAAGAGTCGTGGATTCAGTCGTGTAAGTTTGTCAGGCATATATGCTTTATACATATTGTAGAGCTCGTGGAAGGGAGCTCTGGAGGGGAACCCACCCTGCATCAGGTCCAAAACTGACACCATTCCTAATAGATGAAAACAGGGACACAGGAAGAAAATAAAGTTAGTCTTTCCAAGAGATCTGTAAGGCTGTGACTGCTTACCACAGCTGTCATAGCCCACAGTAACAATACCGTTTCAATTTGAACTTTTTCTTTCAACAATTACATCAATTGATTCTTAAAGTTGTTCAGTGCCCCAATAGAAAAAAAATAAAGAAAGAAAGGTGGAAAACACTAAATGTAAAGATTCAGACAAATCAATTTGTTTCTGGAGTTTTTAATCATCACTGATTGAAATTTATCATTTAAACAATAAAAAATATCCCGATAATGATAAACGCACGCTCCTTAGTGTAACATGATATTCAGCAGCAAATTGGTTTCAGTTCTGCTTTTTTGTTTGTATGGTTATATTCCACTAACCAATTTCTGTGTTTACAAGCTTGTGTCGTTGCAGGGTGTCAAATGAAACCATATATCCCCAACCCCTTTACAGGGGAAAAGAAGACCTCAGCATTCAACCAATCCAACAATTCCCTTTAACGACCCCCTTTCAGAGACATAGACAGGTATGGGGCTTTGCAGGCGATTAGGCAAAAGAAGCCAAACAAAGTTTCAAAGTGGTGGACCCGTTCCTCCGTTTCGATTTGCATGGTTTCTAAGCAAAAACAAGGCTTTGTTGGACTACTATGTAAAGCCTTGAACTCAACACTATTTCTGACGTTTTAAACAGAAAAACCTTCCTGGATGGGAAGCGAAACATCTTCAAACATGGAAAAAAAGTCCAGTGGATTGTTTTTTTTTTTTTTTTTACTTTTTTGTAATGACTATGACCTGGATGACTGAGAAACTTCACCTCTTCAGATATTGAGATAAACCTTTTTATATAGAAAATAAGCAAAACAGTTAAATAAGAGCAATGCACAGTTTAATAAAAATTCTGCAGTCTATGTGGCACAAAAGAATGTTCGATAAAAATATTTCTGAAGCTCAGTTTTTCTGCACTCTGATCCATCTGATGCTGCCTGGTCCCAGTCTGATGGCTGGCATTTCTTCACTATTGAGGAAGGGGCCTTTGTGAGATTCTGATTAAAGCAACAGCAGAGCAATCGGAGGTATTGCTGGTCGTGCATGGGCTTTCTAATACACTTTGGGAATGATTTTGTTAGCAAAAAATAATTACATGGCAAGCCAAAGTTTACCTGTGGGCTTTACCCTGTCACCTATAATTCAGGATATTCAAGATGGAAAATTTCTAGACAGCTGTGACAGAGCTTGAGATTTCCCTAGAGGATGGCTGTTGTTGCTAAAACAATGCAATTGTACTGAGTGTGGGATTAATTGCTAAGGGTTTGGCATATTTTATTTACACCATCCTGACCAGGATGTAAGGACATTCAAATCATTTGTAGGTGCAGATGTGTAAGTGGCAGCGAGGATATCCAAATCATGGCACTATAAAGCAGAGATGGGGACTCAAGTTTGTGACTCGTACTCGAGTCGCACTTAAGTCGCATATTTAATGACTTCAGACTCGACTTAGTGTTTTTTGTTTTACTAACTTCACTGATCGCCGCTCACCTTACCCGCACACAGCAGAGGTTAAAAAAATAAAAATAAAAAATAAAATAAAAAAAAAAACGGCAGAGGGGCTGTCAAACTGTCATATAGCACTGACGTCACTGACGCAACTCCATGTGACAGATGGTGTGTGTGTGTGTGTGTGTGTGTTGGGGGGGGGGGGGGTTGTGTGTGTGTGTTGGGGCTTGGGATCTCTGTTCCTGTGACATGCACTCACTTAACATAGGCCTACATAATCCTACAATAACATGATATTTACAGTTGATTTATTAAAAATGCTTTTCAGTAAAAGTCAACAGCAATAACTCCAATAACAAACAATAATTTCATTCATTCAAAATGTTTTTATTAAAAAATGCTTAACAATTCCTGTAATGAATGAATAGCACAATGAAAGAAATAATGTCTCATCTAAACATCCCTCACTTAACAATAAAAGTTAACAATAACTCTCAACTCCCAATAACAGATGATACTCAGCCTCAGTAATGAACGAAATAATGTCTGTTCTGTAGGCTATTGGAAAAAAATAAATTAACAAATAAGCTAATTAACAAATAATACCTCTTCTGTAGCAAAAATAACTCAAAATGTACCAAAAACGAACAAACATATCAATAGACTATCTTTACTTTCAGTGTCCAGGTGGCTTTTCAGATTCCTTGCACCTCCATTGGACACCGAGACATATGTGCCTGCTTTGCACACTGTGCACAAGGCCTCCCATTTGTCTCGACCCGGTCTGAAAGCGGGGAAACTCTTTTGTAAATCGTCGGTAAACATACATTTGCTCTTTGGCATGTTGTTGGCGTACTGACAGGCACACAATCTATCTTCTGATTAAGAACAGGGCTGCCCGCACTGACGCGGCACAGGGGTTACGTCACACGCAGCGTCGTGCGCAGTGCCCTAGTGCCTGTAAACTTAATGGTCCAATTAAGGTAATTTAAAAAATCTGAACATTTCCTCACTTTCTAAAAAAAACCCGGGACAGGACGTGAAATATGGACGTTTGGTCACCCTACCATATATGCCCGCGCACGCACGCATACAACCCATACAGATATGGAGGCGATGATTAGCCCCCCTGTTTCGGTCCCACCGTTAATAATAACCTTTGGCTACAAAAACTTTACATAAGGCGGGAATAAAAGAGCAGCAAACTGCAGCTTCTTTAGAAAAAAATACACAACGCTGGGTCCACCACATCTAACTTCTATCAGCCACAGTGCAGTGCAGGTGTACAGCCAGTGACATCACAGACATAAGGCAATAATTCAGGACCTTATTATTTCATGACACCTCTCCTTGTCTTTGATCGACAAGCCCAGCTTTAAAAACTTCAAGGCAGTGGTAGAGGAGAAATATGTTGTGAATTGGCGCTAAATAAATAAACTGAATCGAATTTAAAATACTGCCTGCCAAGTCGGTTCTGTCTGTTCCAGGGCATTAAGTTACAAAAAGTTATTGCCACAATGTTTCCTTTATAAAAGTATTGTTATTGTCCTGGTATTTGATAGGGTTTTTCTTTATCTCTTGTAGTTGCTAACCTCATATTTATTAAGAAAAGGCAGGATTGTGATCGTCCTCATTTTCACTTAAAAATAAAAGAGCAGACATTTACTGCTAAAACTAGAAACAGTTGTAACCTCAAATGTCAGGTAAATACTGTAAGAAAATTGTTGTTTTTGAAAGAAAAAAATAAAGATGCAAAATTTAAGAGGAAAAATTTTTTGCGTGTGTGCTTTTTTTAATTGTATTTTTCATTTAGCGGTTCAAGATAATGATCATTCCATAGATATATTTGGTGACCGTCTCAGTGACAGAGATGAAAACACAAGGAGAAAACAAGCAAGCACACAAATCATTGCACTTTTTTTAATTAATCAAGTGATTAGAATTTTTTGTGCAATTAATTGATTATTGCGACAGGCCTTCTCAAGACTTGAGACTTGACTTGGACTTGCAAAAAATGACTTGTGAACAGGTCTGCTATAAAGTTATACTGATATCTAAATATTAATTTAAAGAAGAAAATGAACGGCAGGTGTCCTCCATGCTGGGCTTTCTATACAGCAGGTTATTTCAAAGGGAGATCACATTTCTGATTGGTTTGCTTGTTTTTTTTAAAAGTCTTTTTAGAGTTCTGTTGTGACCCTTAGTGAAATCTGTCCTTTTTTCTGTCTTTGCTTCATCAACGTCCCACATAGGGCTGATTCTCTAAGACTAAGACTTTCTGTTTGTATACTAAGTATTTTACACTCGTTTTTTTTTTTTTTATATTTATAATTTTATTGTATTTTATGATTGTGTGCAGCACTTTGGTCCTGTCCGGTGCATAAAGTGCTTCGAAAATAAAGTTGGTATGGTATGGACTATGATTGAACAACTGTTCGACTGGAATTGCCCAGCATAAAAGTAGTTTCATGAATATCAGATAGAAATGATAACATATTCTCTGAATAGCAGTCTAATTTATCTTTATCGGCAAAGGCAACAGCATAACCCACTGTGTATTGCAGAAGGGGCAGACTGTTCATCATCAGGAGCCAAAATAAATTCCAACAGCAATTTAAAGAGCTGAACATTTAATTTAAGGCTTATAGAAAAAATATATATATATTTTTATTTCAGTTCATCTTATTTCTTTACTGATTTATTACAGACACACTAAATATAACATCTTAAGCAGCAAAATGTCCTCAGGATCACAATCTAGAACAGTGCCCCTTTCTCGTCTTTGGACCTAGCTGCAGCTTTGAATTTAAAATGCAACAGTGCCTGGAATAGCATGCAGATTAATCTCTTATAAACTTCTGTTCATTTAGATTAAAATGATTTCCGCTCTCCTTCATATTTTCCTTGACTTGATGATAACCAGAGATGAGAAATGTCCTATGATCGCTTCACTGCAATAACTATTCCACTTTTATTTAAAGGAATAGTACACCCAAAACATGATTAGCCTTCATTTTCTACTCACCCCCATGCTGAACAACACTCTGGAGTACTTTTTTGATATCTCAAATGCATCTGGAGATCTGGGAGGCTTCTTGCTGTCTGCTGACATTCAAATAATGGAGGTCTATGGCGCTCGAGGCAGAAAGGTCCATAAAAGTCCATAAAAAACGTGGCAATATTCCTCCATACTGCTCGTCCAATGTATTCCAAGTGTCCTGAGTGGATAGCGTCCATAATTTACTCGAAATGAAGTCATCTAGAATGTTTTTAGAGCATAAACAGTAGTGTATAGGACTTCCTAAAAGCGCGTTCACGAGTCTACGGAAACCGCGGCAGACCAAACCGGACGAAAGTGCGCATTCAGCTCGGCAAAGAACTCATGCTGTTCCTCAACACTGAAGTCCTCAGACATTTTTCTTTCGTTGTTTCTTTCTTTGCACAGGTAAACAGCACATTTCTTCCTCTACGCTTGCATTATCGGCAGAGCAGACGCTGAATGCGCACTTTCATCTGGTTTGGTCTGCCGCGGTTTCCGTAGACTCGTGAACGCGCTTTTGGGAAATCCTATGCACTACTGTTTATGCTCTAAAAACATTCTAAATGACTTCGTTTCGAGTAAATTCTGGATGCTACCCACTCAGGACACTTGGAATACATTGGACGAGCAGTATGGAGGAATATTTACACGTTTTTTGTGGACTTTTATGGACCTTTCTATCTTGGTCATCATAGACCTCCATTATTTGAATGTCAGCAGACAGCAAGAAGCCTCCCAGATCTCCAGATGCATTTGAGATATCAAAAAAGTACTCCAGAGTGTTGTTCAGCATGGGGGTGAGTAGAAAATGAAGGCTAATCATGTTTTGGGTGTACTATTCCTTTAATCAAGTTTTTAAAACTACTCTTATTTGAGTGCAATCTCAGGCAAAACAAAGACATAACCAAAAATGCTCCAGACATGGGCTCCACATAAACTTCCTATTGTTGAGTTTGCTGTCCTATTTGGAGTTCAAATGAAAATGCAGTGAACTCTGTTAGTGTTTATTCATCTCTGTTCTAAAATGCATACATTTCTATAAGTATTGGTTTCAAGGTTTTATGTTGCAGTAACTTTGGACTCAAACTTAATGGTGTCTTAAGCTGACAATATATATGTTTTTTTAAATGGATCAGTTGATCATCTGCAGATGAGGCTGCAAATTTTCTAGGTCATTTTCTATGGTGTGGCAGGGGAGGGGAGTGTGTGCTCTGCCGATGACGACTCGTGTCATGAGATGATAGAACTTTTAGTTTAATTATGTTAATAGTCTTTTAGCTGAAATTACTACAAAAGAGCTGAATAAACTGCAGATGCATTTTTGCTGGAAAGAACTAAATGGAGAAGATTGTGGACATTTTTCAAAGTTAAAGATGCTTCACAAACTGCAACAAATTGACAGATCAGTCCAATTCTGTGAGCCGCACAGAACAGAGAGAAGAGATGCACATCCGCCAGCCCCGTTGTGTTGTGGGGCAGTATGTGTGCAAATATCTTGATGAGGGAAACAGAGGCTGAATAATGTAAAATTGGAGAAATCAGAAATGGGGTCTGCTAGCAGACTAATTTGGACCCACAGATTGAGTCAGAGTTGCTTGTTATGCAAGGACACATTCAGCTATATAGATCAAATCCTACATCAGAGAACTAAAAAATATGTCTGAGCAGGTGGGGGTCATATCTAATTTGTTCTCAAACAACTTTTAGCTTAGCTAAAAAGCAAGCATCAAAAATAAATTAACTAAATTCTTAAAAAGAGCAGGCCACAGAGCATCAATATGCACCAAGTGCTGAATATTAACCTGAAAAATGTGTTAAACCAGTGTTGTTTTAAAACAATTATGTTAGGAATGTTTATTAATTAACACCCCAAATATCACCCCTCTTTGTGCATTCTTCACATAAACTGAAATATATACTGTTGTCTTTAAAAACCCCTCCTTAAAACACATTCTCTAAGGAAGAAAAAGCTTTTTAGGGGTAAAGAAAAGGAAAGAATATGATTTGCTCCAAGGTATTTGGTTTTAATTCACCACATGCAAATTCAAAATTACATTCGGAGATCATAATTTATTCTTGAAATGTCTCTAGATCAGGTCACTGTTATATGTTAGTATTTTTTATAGCCATCATAAATGTCTCAAACATTTTATAATTTCTTTAAATACCTGAGCATTGCAGCTGTGAGAGAATTAGAGCTCCTTCAAACTGATGACTGACCATCTTAAGGTTGGGTTTCACACAGCGAATGAAACTTGAGCCCTGGACAAAAAAATCAATAATTAAAAACAAGATCTTATTCAGGATGTTTATGAAAATACAGCTAGCCCAAAATGAATTGTTATTAACTGATAATAAAGACTATTTAACTCACAGTGCTGCGAAGCTTCTCAAGGAGCAGGTTTAGTTGTGTCTGTGCAAAAAGCAGGCAAAGTTCTTTTCAACACAGAATAAATACTGAAATAATCAAATAACTAGTTAAATCATTGCGAGGAAAGACATCAACTTCTGCAAAACCTAGAGTTAATTTTGAGAGATCAAATCGAAGTGAGAAGATTGAGAGTAGTTTTATAAGATTCTGCGTTTCTTTGCATGACCATAAAAAGGTTTTCTGAGATCTTCAGTCACTTTCTGAGATTCCTTTGTATAACCTAGCATTAGTTCTGTAAGATCCAAACTTATTGTGGAGTTTCCTGAAAATGCTCCTTAAGATCCTGAGATGTTCACCCAAAGTCCCACAAATATGTTTTAAAAGATCTAAAGTTTGTTTTGCAAATTCAGTCCAAAAGGTTTGGAAGTTCTTTGTTGAGTGTCAGATTTCCTAAATTGTGTTTTTGTTTTTCCAAAATTTCATAAAAAGGTTTTCAATCTCAAGTTTTAGTTAACAGTCCTTTTCAAGGTTTGACGGTTTCCAAAGTTCCTTTTACAGAATCCCCCCAAAACTTTGATATATCTGTTTAATTTTGTGAGACGCTGCCAATGATTTGCAAATTTTCTATAAGTTTAGTAGATATTATAAATCATTATTGTATGATCCAGTCAAAGTTTTGTGCAGTAATGATAATTGGTTTTACTTCTACAGTGTTTTAGTTGCTGGGAAAAGAGAATGAGTTGGAGAATATTTGTACGGTAAAATGTCTCTTTCAGTTATTGCTCTTTCAAACAAAATCCTAATTAGTTAATCAGTACTACATCAGCCCTCCTGTTGTCTGCTGGGCCCCTGGCAGCACAGAGCGGGACAGAAATAGACTTAACAAACTAGTAAGAAAGGCTACTTCTGTCCTAGGCTGCACTCTGGACTCAGTGGAGGAAGTGGCTGAGAGGAGGATGCTGTCCAAGCTTCCATTCTCCTTTAGTAAAAGACTTTTACATCCTGTTTGTAAAAAGGAGCGCTAGCACAGGTCATTAATCCCTGTTGCAACTAGACTCTACCTTGCGACTCTAGACTTAGGCAACATTTAATGTCATTTTGTATACACAGATCGTATATAAAACAAAATTTCCTTTTTTACAGCTCTACTGACATTTCGATTACAACGGCAATAACTTGTGCAATGTGTAATTTACCATTTGATACCCCGTGCAATAACTGTTTCTCTATATTTGACACTCAGTGCAATAACTATATATATATATATATATATATATATATATTAGTGCTGTCAAACTATTACAAATTTTAATCGCGATTAATCGCATATTATCAACAGTTAACTCGAGATTAATCGCATATTTTATCTTTTTATTTTATTTATTTTATTTGGCCATTTAAAAATGCAATTGTGCAATAATGTAAAAAACACATGCTTATACAATTTTTTTTTATTAGCATAATTTTTCAAGCACTTTTAAGAAACTAGAATAAAAATATCCTGGTTTAAATTCTAAATTTTAAATTAGGCGTTATGCTTCCATCAAAACTTTACAAAACTACAGAACAGTAAACAGTACTTCAAAGTACTCCGTAAGCTTAAGTTTTTTCTCAAACATAGGACAAAAATAAAGATGTTAAAATAAAGTGCACATTCCGTTATGAAATACAGACTTAATGACTTAAATGAAAAATAATAAATAAATCAGACGAAATTACAATAACAGGGCTTTGCAGTCATCTCAGTAACATAACATTTTACATGTAGAACATTTTCAAAATGCTTTAATATTCCTTTGGTCTGAACAGAAGTGCAGCAGCAGCGCCTTCCACATGACTTAGTTCATTTCTTTGTCTTGTTGGCACTAAGCCAGTGAGACGCTCGTTTCTTCTGGACAACATAGACAGAGGACTTGGGTTTTGTCAAGAGAACCTTCTGGCATAACTTAAAAAAGAAATGTATCATTCAGGATACCTTGTCTGCTGGCCATTTTTGCCCATTCAAAGCACGGGTCTGTTATGCTGCGGACTCTCCCGTTAGCATTCCTGAAGCTACGGAAAGCGCAGAGGGTAAAACAAACAGTGCAGAGAGCGCTGCGGAAAAATAAAGAACACAAGCGAAAGGTGCATTTGTTTTGATGCGCGATTAACGTGCGTTAAAAAAAATGTTGGTGTTATAGTCTAAAGCAGTTAACGCGTTAATAACGCTTTAAAACTGACAGCCCTAATATATATATATATATATATATATATATATATATATATATATATATATATATATATATATATATATATATATATATATATATATATGTGTGTGTGTGTGTGTGTGTGTCTTGTTCTATGTCTTGTTCCAGTAGCCAATTTGTCATCAAGTTGCCCTGGTTCCCTAGCAACCGACGCGGACCTTGAGGTGAAGAAGAAAGAACACGAGAAGCTTGAGAAATACCAAGGGCTGAAAGAGGAGCTACAAAAGATGTGGAAAGTAAGAGCAGCAGTGGTGCCAGTGGTAATTGGAGCACTGGGGGCTGTGACCCCCAAACTGGGAGAGTGGCTACAGCAGATTCCAGGTAAAACATCAGAGGTCTCTGTCCAGAAGAGCGCAGTCCTAGGAACAGCTAAGATACTGCGCAGAACCCTCAAACTCCCAGGCCTCTGGTAGAGGACCCGAGCTTGAGGATGACACATACCACCCCACCAGGGGTGAGAAAACATTTTTTTTTGTTTTTATATATATATATTTAAATATTCATCTATATAAAAACCGATGTAAACACACTGTGCAATAACCCTGTATAATGATCCTACTATAAAAAATAAAATTAAAAAAGCTGTCATATGTGGAAGCACTGTATATACTGTTTATAGCCCATGCACCTTTTTCTTCCTGCTCATTCTTCTTCTTTGACTATTTGAGCTGATGTAACGAGTAAATTTCTCCCCTTTGAGATTAATAAAGTCAATCAATCAAGTAACAGAAAGCAATGAGCACAATGGTTGATGATATATAAGAGGACTAATGCCCATATGTAACTGGTCCAAGTCAAATATGAGGTTCATATAAAACAAAGGACCATTATTGTTTCATTGCACTTTCCGCTGCTGCTATAAAGCTTCCTGTTTTTATTCTTCAAGCTGATTTTACCCAGATCTATTCACCAAGTAAGTTTTCTCAGAAGAAAGTGGTGAGAGACTGGAGGAAATGTAAGAGAGGCGTCCAAACTAAGTACAAGAAACTGGGAAAGAGGAAGGAGATTGAGATAGAGATTTGAGTCAGCTCACTTATTGCTAGTCTGAAAAGAGGCTTAGAGAGATTAAAGTCAGCAAATAAAAACAGAGCAGGTAAAAATTGGTGGATTTCACAACCTGAATCAATATACTTTATTTTGGCAAAGCTCCTGTACAAGCAAACACGGCAAGATATCATGCGTATATCACATGTTCAATATTTAAATTAGACCACTGTATTGACAGACACAATGGGGTCTTAGGGCAACAGCACACAAAAAGAGTGTTAACCGACCTTGAATTTGTTGCCAACGCTGATGAAGCCGAGTTTACCCGCCTTCTGTTTGGAGTCCTTGGAGGTGCTGGTGTTCTCAAACAGCTCGCGAACAAATTTGTCTTTTGATTCACACACCAAACTCTCCAAGGACATGTGGAGGGCGTCATTATTCTTCTCCACGAACCGCGTCTGTCAACAAAACACATTCATTTCTGTAGTGAAAAGCTTCCTCTGCTACATTCTGATTTTGTGTTAGACCAAAATGAAGAATGGGCCACCTTTTCTTTTCCATGTAATGGAAATAAACAAAAGAAACTCCAAATAAATAACTGTTAAAAAAAAATATGTTGAAGATTCTCAGTCATCCAGGTCATTGTCATTCCAAAAAAGTTATTAAAAAATTCACTAGACTTTGTTTCCAAGTTTGAAGACGTTTCACTTCCCATCCAGGAAGGTTTTTCTATTCAAAATGTCAGAAATAGTGTTGAGTTTGAGGCTTTACAGAGTGCACCGAAAACAAAGCTTTATTTTGTCTTAGAAAACATGCAAATTGAACCGGAATAACGGGTCCGCCCCTTAGGAAGGACAGTTGTTTAGGATCTTTGTTAGGCTGCAATACCCAATACCTGCCTATGTCTTGGAAAGGGGGGGTCGTTAAAGGGAATTGTCGGCCTGGCTGAATAGGGGAGGTGTTCTGTTCCCTTGTATGGGGATGGGGGTTGCAATGATGGTGAGAAGGAATCAACTATCGCTGTGTTGTAGGTTTTTGAAAGCCACCTCCTCTTTTTAAAGTCCTAGGGAAACCGTTGCATTTCCGAATTCTCCCAAGCAGAGCCCGGCTTTATAGGAGTGAATAAAGTGAATGTGATTGGTAGTTTATCAAGAGGGTGGGAGTGTTGTGGCGGAAGGTTCGCAATGGGAAATTCCATTGGGACCAAGTGGCACTAAATTGGTGCCTTACAAACGACACTGTCAAGGAACGCTATGGACAGAGGAAACATGCAAGAGGAGGAGAGTTTAGTGTCGGAGGTCGTGGATGAGTCTCCTCCGTCATCCATTTTTTATTTAGAGGAGGAAAGCGGGGATGAAGATGTTGTGGAAGAGGACGCCAGGGCGGCAGAAGCTTGGTTTCGTGTAGGCTTCCAGCTGTACATGTTTGAGCCCTTGCCTCGCAACGCTGCCAGTTCTGTTAGCTCTACGCCTGCCGAAGACACAGACGTCCATCCACGTGAACACTGGGACCGAACTCAATGGGAAAGGAAATAAAGATTCTTATGTCTTATTTCAACCGTTGCGTATATTAGCTGCGACATATGAATCAAGATGCTATGACCGAAAAAATTTGATTGACAGATGACCGTTGATATATAATTGGCCGAATTTAGGTGTTCAGGCAGACGTAGAACTAACTGGCCTGCATAAAATAATGGGGGGGAAAAAACACACAGATTTTAAGACAGAAATTTTCAAAATTTTAGGATAATATAGTCTAATAAAGAGTATATTTATATACATGTTTAAGCCAGAATGATTTGAACTTTAAATATGACTTTCCTACGACTTTAAGGATGGTTTTTGTTTCTTAACATAGATGGCTTCCTTCACACCCCTCGCAAACAACCTGTCTTCTTTGTCCAAAATGTTAACATTCTTTTCCTCAAAAGAATATCCTTTGTCCATCAGGTGTCGATGTACCGCCAAGTCTTGTCCCGAGGAGGTCGTGCTTCTGTGTTGGGCCATGCGTCTGTGGAGAGGTTGTTTGGTTTCTTCCATATAAAGATCAAAGCATTACTCACTGCATTGAACTGCATACAGCACTCTGCTCACATTTGGTTTGTTTTTTTTCTTTAGGATGCACTAGTCTATTTAAGGGTCTTGTTTGGTTTAAAATGTACAGGGATTTTGTGTTTGGAGAAAATCCTCTTGAGTTTTTCAGAGACTCCAGCAACATGTGGGATGGTGATGTTTTTGCGTTTAATCTCAGCGTTTTGTTCTGCTGCGTGTCTTTTGGATTTCCTTGCTGATTTGACAAATCCCCAATTTGGGTAGCCACAAGTTTGAAGAGCATCTTGATGTGTTTCTGTTCTGTTTTAGTAGGGACATGCTCGGCCCAGTGTTGCAAGGTTCTGATGACTGAAAGTTTGAGTTCCAATGGGTGGTGTGAGTTCTACAAACTTCAGTGCTGAGGTTTCCATCTCCTTCAATGCTCACCGAACAGTCCAGAAAAGGTAGGTTGTTGTTGTTGGCATCCTCTCTGGTATATTGTGTTGAAACAATCTTTTGCAATGCCACATTTTCACAGATTGAGTTAAAAATAATTTTTGCAGCACACCAACCAAAACCTCATAAAAACCAAGAAACATATTAATTCGATCCATCCTGTAAAAATTGAAACACTTTGACTTAGGGCTGGGTGATATGACTGAAAAATGTTTTGTGAAATAAGCCTAAGACCTGAGTGGTCTGAGAGGTTGATGATACACTGAAACAGATCTGTTATGTATTGAGGTGCTGATCTATTCAGAGATTTATAGACTAAAAGAAGGATTTTTAAGTCTATTATCTGAGCTACTGGGAGCAAGTGGAAGGACTTCAGAACCGGGCTGATGTGCTCTACCTTCTTAGTTCTATTGAGAACTTGGGCAGTAGCATTTTTGATCAGCTACAGCTGTATGATGGTCTATTTAGGCAAACCTACATACACACCTGCAATACACTGTTGCAGTAATTCAGTCTATTAAAGAAAAATCCATGAATGAGTTTTTCTAGATGCTGCTTGGACATTAGTCCTTTAATCCTGGAAATTTTCTCCAGGTGACATGATGGACACATGGAAACAGGAGTATACCAAATTTAGCATTTTGACCGGTATGCAAAAAAGCTGTGTAGCAAAAAGAAGCAAAACAAAGTGGTGGCAGCATCATGCTCTTGGAAAGGATTCGTCAGTAGAGAAGAAGAGGCTAGTTGAAGTTTACAGTAGTAGCAATTAAAAATGTCCCTTCTTTCCTTGATGGGCCCTTGGCTCGTCCCCTATAATTCCTATTTAAACATCAATGTTTGTACTAAAATATTCTCTCTGTCATGATTTGTGGACATTAAGATCTAAAGAGAAGCGTCATCTCTGGTCAGAGCCTGTAATTCAGTGAAAGGGTGGAGTCAAAGTAAAAAATATGCAAGAGGGGGGTCACTCAAGAGGCTGGAAATTGGAGGGGATTTCACTGGGTGATGGAGGGAAGTGGGCTGCCATTCCGCTGGGGTTTGACTGGGAAGAGCCCATTTGAATGGCTGCTACTGTATGTGAAGATGAATGGAGCCAAATAAAAGATTAGCATGAGAGAAAACATATTAAAGTTTGCAGAAGACATAAGACTGAAGAGGTCTACCTTCCAAAAAAAATAAAAAATAAAAAAACTCTTTCGGCCAGAACTGTGATAGAATAGTTTATATCCAAGGATAGTGATTGGTTAGAATGGTCTAGTCAAACGTCAGACTTCTATGCAAGTAAAAATTGCAAGACTGGAAAACTTGTTCTTATAACTGCTCTCCATCCAATCTAACTGGGCTTTTCAGAGAAAAGGAAAGGGTAAATATTTCTGTCCATGGCTGTGAATGAGGGGAAGACCTGCTCTCAGGTGGGAGGAAAATGAGTCGTTGTTTTTGCCTTAAGCCATGTAGGGAACACAGCAAGCGAGTTGAAGAAGGTGATTTGGTCAGATAAATTATAAATGATTCTAAATCCAAAGTAGAATCTGTGGCCAGACTTAAAAATTGATGGAATTTCCATCTGATCTTATTGAGCCCAAGCGATTTTTGAAGAAAACAAAGCTATAAAAGGTAAATCTCTAGATGTTCAAAGCTGGTAAAAATACCAAGACTTTCGAATGTAATTGCAGTGAAAGTATCTCCATGAAGTTTTGAGTCAGCTGGGTTGCAGATAAGTATATGCAGTATTTTCAGCTTCTTATTTGTAAAGAAGAAAAAGAAAAAAAAAGAAAAACATAAATAGATAGAAACCATGAATTAATTCCCTTTACTATTTTGCTCTATCGCTTTAAATAATGTGAAGAACCTCAAAGGGTGTGGTGTGGATTTACATGTCATTAGTTTTGTGAGTCTCTGCACACAGAAAGCAAGACTAAGTAAAAAATAAATAAAAAATACTCAGGTTGAGAAATACCGTTTCATAGCAGACAGCTCCAGCGAAGTGCCTGATCATAAAACCCTCGTCATCCCGAAGATTTCTGTGGATGGCCAACTTCGACTTCCTGGGAACCTAAGAGGGTAAAAATGTTAAAGGAATAAATAGCAGAACATATTTTGGGTTATATTTACTTGGTTCGAAGGAATTCTTTTGCAAGACTTTTCATTGTGTCTGAGATCAGCTAAGAGATAAACTTTATATTAAACATACCATTTATGTCCTTTTTCAAGGATTTTTGCACTTATTTGAGGAGAGTGCTTATTTAATAGCTGGCTTAAGAATTTCTGAATGCCACTTTTATCTTGTCTAGCTGAAATGTTGCAAAAGGGTCTAAACATCGATTTGTTTTCTGAATAAACAGTGAAAAAAGAGGAGCAGTACAAATTGCTTGTAGATTGAGCACAAACAAGCCTTTGAAAAGCTGTAGATTTGGAGAAGAACTGTTAGCTGACACCACATTGAATTTTCCCCCCATTATATGCACAGAATAGTCTGTTTGAGAGACAACAATAAAATGGTTGAAGCCAGCCTCCTCTAATCTTAAGCTTGAATAAGTGTCAAGGCTTCGTTCTGAAAAGGATTTTATGTTCGCAGATAATCAAGCAGACTGCCGAACAATAAGGACAAAGAGCGAAACGGGGAGGGACTGGCGCTGTGCGCCATTCACTGAACTACTGGAACACATTAAAAAGTGTGAGTGATTACAATGAGACTATGAAGGGGAAGCTACATTTTCCCAGATATCAAAAATGCCACAATGGAGGTCAACAAGCCTGGAGATGTAGAGAGAAAGAAGCAATAGCAAAGAGGGAAAGGAGCTCGGGTCAGAGGTCACACCGTCAGTCTGAAGTGGTCCTTGTGCTTGCTCTGGACGGCCAATGTAAAGTGTTGATCACTGGGCTGAGGGAGGCGGTTCTCTTCATCCAGAATGTCCAGGATTCCCACCAACTTTGCCTCCACAAGATCTAGAGACACATTTAATGGTTGACCACAGTATTACAACTGGTTTTAATCCTAAATCACACAGTGTTGAGTAATTGAAATAAACTTACTTTGCTGGCATTGTGAGATAAAATGTTTGTATAGGAACCAGTTTTGTTTAATTTGGTCATTGACTGAGAGGACGGCGTTTATTGTTTTATGGTGTGCTGTTCTTTATTCCAGTCATACACATAATTATTATTTACAAAAAAAACCTTAAATGGTAGGGAAAAAAAGTGTATATATTATCGCTGTAACTAACTATTGTTCTGCAAATCGATTAATCTGTTTTTTTTTATTAATTCATTAATAATCAGATAGCCAAAGGTTCCTTAAAGTAGATTAACTCAAACCTTTCCACTTGAGGAGTTCTGGATAGAGCATAATGACAGACGATCACATTTTTCGAAACTTAAATGCAAAGTGTTTATATATTTATTTATTGATTTATTTATTTTTGGATATAATTACCATCAAGGTGTGTCACTCTGACAGCTAAAGACATGTTTTAGAGTCTCTTTAATACAGCTAACAATTAATTGATAACTAAATTAAAGAATTTTTCAATAATCCATTAATCAAGATTAATCCGATTAATTGTTTCAGCCCTAATGTATATTCTCTCAAACTTCTGTATCTACTTTGTATTTGGTTGGTAAAGGAGGATATGTTGCCATAGATAGATTATACTTCTACTATGTATTCTGTAAGTTGTTTTTTAATGTATGTATGGGCTTTTTATAAAGACGCGTGTCTGAAGTCTACAACACCATATGATTATGAAATCCATCCCACTGAACCCAAATCCTACACCCTATTCAAATAAAAACGCATCCAAATAAAGAAATATATCAAAGAGGCAACATAACCTGTGATGGACAAAATCAACTAATTTTCCTCCTGCTTAGAGCTCATAAGATGCTTATTTTCAATACTCAATGATGTGTAGTGGGATGGGAAACAGTTTCACATCAAATCTGATCATTTTAGACGTATTATAGGAACAGCAGACCATGGTGCACATATTTTAGGAGTGTGTAAACGCACCTGCTGTTTTAATACTCAAATCCCCAAATTTTCTTTCTGAATTTGGGATTCACACAAATTTTCCACTGTTTATCGTTTCTGAGTTTGAATATTTAAAAAAAAAAAAAGTACAAAAAATGTTCATCAGATGCTAATTTAGACACATGGTTGAATTATTCATGCAACATGCTGTTCAGAGAATAGCGTTCCAACCAAGGACCTTCGAAAAAAAAAATTAGCATGAGGAAGCACCTGTGCATAAAACCAGAAGATTGATGAGTGAATTAATGGCCATCCAAATGGTCATTTGCAAGTCATAAATGTTATTCACTGCTGTCAGTTAGCCTCACACCTGAATAATCACAACCTTTGAAATACAAATCAACTCATTCACCTTGATGCGTGCACTACTTCATCTCATTAATTCCAGGATTGATTTGAGGACAAACGGAAGCAAAACAAGGGTCATAATCTCAGCCTCTTATGACACTAAAAGCCCATAAAACCCACAAATACTTATTGCACTTGCTCCCCTCAGACAAACGGATATGTTCGCTTTGAGAATAATTAGAAGTCCGCATTTTTGTCTGTTGATCGGATGTATTTCTCTGCTCCGACATTGATCCCAGAGGAAGGATTCATATGAATGCCATGTGACTAAAGGCGCCTCAGTCTGATCGTCATTTGCAACATGAGTTCTTAGAGACAATAGTTTAGGAACTGATAAGACACACTTTAAAAAAGTTTTTTTTTGCACTATAAAAATGCAACTTTTCTTTCTTTATTACTGTGATTTTTTTTTATGACTTTAAGCAAAAACAAGCCAAATTCACAATATCACTGTCAAAACAGAGCTGAGAATTTTAATGAACAACAAGATAACAGTTTGGATGGTTAGCATGGCTATTTTAGCTGTTTCTTTGACAAATACAGCACCTTAAATACTGAAAATTTGCCCGGTTCGACCACCATCGCCTCCACTCTGGGTCCCTGAGCAAGACTCTTAACCCTACACTGCTCCCCAAGGGGATGGGTCAAATGCAGAGGTAAATTTCTCCAATGTGAGATGAATAAAGTTCAATTATTATCATTATTATCAAGTGTTTTAGACCTCATACCAGACCAAAAAAGACTTCCGAAGAATTATTAGTTTAAGCTCTCGAGCAAGTAAAGTAAAGGTTAATTTTGTCTTTAAGTGTTTGCTTGAAGTGGCTGCAAACACTTTTGTTTCCCCTGAACACTTCTGGCTCACTTCTCACCATTCAATGACTTGTTTTCAGACTCTTTTATTTGTTAGGTTAATGTTTTATACATCATGTGCATTGTTATACTTTTAGCCAGATTAGACAGAGTAGAAGGTCTTCCTTCACATTGTGGATGTCACTGTGTGTACAGAGGTCATCTAATCAGGGCAGCCTTCATCTTTAAAGGAATAGTACACCCAACACATGATTAGCCTTCATTTTCTACTAACCCCCATGCTGAACAACACTCTGGAGTACTTTTTTGATATCTCAAATGCATCTGGAGATCTGGGAGGCTTCTTGCTGTCTGCTGACATTCAAATAATGGAGGTCTATGGTGCCAGAGACAGAAAGGTCCATAAAAGTCCACAAAAAACGTGTCAATATTCCTCCATACTGCTCGTCCAATGTATTCCAAGTGTCCTGAGTGGGTAGCATCCAGAATTTACTCGAAACGAAGTCATTTAGAATGTTTTTAGAGCATAAACAGTAGTGTATAGGATTTCCTGAAAGCGCGCACATGCGCGTTCACGACGCTATGGAAGCCGGCAGACCAAACCAGCGCATTCAGCTCGGCAAAGAACTCATGCTCTTCCTCAACACTGAAGTCCTCAGACATTTTTCTTTCGTTGTTTCTTTCTTTGCACAGGTAAACAGCACATTTCTTCTTCTACGCTTGCATTATTGGCAGAGCAGACGCTGAATGCGCACTTTCATCTGGTTTGGTCTGCCGGTTTCCGTAGCGTCGTGAACTCGCAGGCGCGCGCTTTCAGGAAATCCCATACACTACTGTTTATGCTCTAAAAACATTCTAAATGACTTTGTTTCGAGTAAATTATGGACGCTACCCACTCAGGACACTTGGAATACATTGGACGAGCAGTATGGAGGAATATTGACACGTTTTTTGTGGACTTTTATGGACCTTTCTGTCTCGGGCGCCATAGACCTCCATTATTTGAATGTCAGCAGACAGCAAGAAGCCTCCCAGATCTCCAGATGCATTTGAGATATCAAAAAAGTACTCCAGAGTGTTGTTCAGCATGGGGGGGGAGTAGAAAATGAAGGCTAATCATGTTTTGGGTGTACCTTTCCTTTAAGAGTACACAGGATATGGGCACATCTTGGAGCCGGTCTGATAGAGGAGAGCTATCTGTAACCCTGAAGCATAGAAGCAAGCTGCATATGGGTCAGGGCATTGATGACGTGTCAGTTTCTGACCTTGTTTGGGGCTCAATTTTTGCTGGACGCTCGTGGATGTGATTTTTGAGCCCACAGCTGTGCAAGCTCCAAGCATTTTCTCTGTCCTGTAACGACCTGATCTGGAATAAACTCTGTTACTTTTTTACTCCTGTTTTATAGTCCTTTTTATATGGTTTTACCCAGTTTGAGTTAAGAGTAGTAAATAACTTGCTCCCAGGAAAAGAACCGTGAGGAAGCCCCTGAGGCGCAATGGCTTTTTTAGGGGGCATAACTTCCTCATTTTAACATATTGTTTTTCTTTTAAAAAGATGAGTATCAAACAAGATACTTTTATACATTTATGTCTATTTGTTATAAGGTTTCGCATTTAAAATAATACATTTTCTTCTTGACCCCAATTTAGAAAATTTTGAAGGATGGATTTTTATATAAAAGGTACTTCAAGTTAATATTTTAGTTATTTATTTTGTTTTTATAATAATAATTTTTTCATTTATGTTAAATGCTTTCCTTACAACAAACTACAGGAGCAGCGATTCAAAATGGCCCTTCCCAGTCAAACGCCAGCCCACTTCCCTGCACATCCCAGCCACTGCAGAGTCCCCCTCTTGCACATTTTTTACCCTGACTCCACCCTTTTATTTGAATTATGAATGAATTATGGGGTCTGACCAGGAGATGATGCTTCTCTTTAGATCTTAATGTCCACAGATCATGGCAAAAAACATCCCCACAACAGTTTTGCATCTTTGTGCTCAAAAAAAAAAAATAAAATAAAAAAATAAAAAAAACCCTGACAAGGTCTAACAGGAGGAATCCTCTAATATCACAATTTTATGTTTAATATCAGATTTTTTGTTCTTCTGAACTTTTTCATTCAAAATGACGATCATTACAGCAAATTAGTCAATATAATGGTGACAAATCCCTCCTTTAAACATCATAGAGACCCACTAACATTTTAACAGAAGTTAAAGCCTTTAATCAGCAGACATAGATTCTAGAAAGCCCAAAGCTTATTGAAAAAAATAGAAAAGGACTGGTGGTTAGAAAGTTTGCATGTCTTCAGACAGGTGCAAATGTGTTTGTATGCAGAGGGCAGATATTCAGAGAATGTGCAAAGTGATTTGCTTTTGTAGTTCAGCAGAAAGCATGAGCAAACCCTTTATTGCGTGTGTCTCCCGTCACTATGCAGATCATATTCTAATGCCCAAACCACCACATTCATGGGTGGAGGATATGCAAATGTAAACATTTACCACAATCTGAGTTTCTAAATGGGAAACTCAGCTGCAAACAGGAAATTGTCATCTAATCTAGCACCTCTTAATTGGAATCTTTGAAAATCAGGCCCTAAGTTTTGTGGAAGTAGAAGGTTGAATTAGTGAGCAAATCTTTGTTTTATTTTGTGTGTTCATTGATCAACAATAAAATATGGATTATGATCAAACTAGAGCCGTCTTATTATTTTAATTCTGTTTGCTATTGTATATTAGTTCCCAGAAGGAACAGAATGGATTGTTTATTTTGAAAATTAAATGATTTAATTAGAAACAACAAAATTGATAATAAGGACACGATTCTTTTTCTTTATGGTGCAAGAAAAAAAGCAAACTCTTAGTGAATCTACATCAATGATTCTTTTATAACCAAGGCACATGATAGCAGTAACAATCAAATGACAAACAGTAATTATAACAAAGGATTTATAAGGAAAAATAATACAAAGTAAAAACTTCTCAGACTTGGAAAAGTGGAAAAAGGACAGAAACTCACCAATACAGTCCTGGTTGTCGACATAATGCACCTCATTCACCCCCAGCCCTTCCTTTTGATACAGCTCTTGCTCCTGTAATAATAATAATAATAAAAAAACTTAACACAGAGCAGGGGCAGATTTAGGAAATGTGGGGCCCTAGGCAAAGACAGGCAGGGGGACCCTCTAAATTGAGAAGACAAGACACTAAACAGACCCATTATATGGATACAGAAATTTTAACAGAATAGAAATCCATTATTTGTTCTAGCTGACTTTTCATGCTGTCTCTAAAGGAATGAAAGATTTTTTCCAAGCTCTAAGCTCACTTAGCTGATTGCTCCTTTCTGTGTTTCCAAAAAGGCCAAAGTAAATAACCCAGTCCTTTTCACTGTAGACGGGCCATGATCTGCTTCTCTGTTCTCCATTTTTCATTTGGATGAAATAATAGCTGCATGAATCATGACAGGAGACAGGATGGAGGAGAGCAGGAGGCGGGGTTACCAATCTACTTGCTCTGGAGAGCAGAGTTCGCTGCTTTTAGATGTTGTCTCCAAAGTCTCCAGTAGCAGAAAAAAGTCTCTAGATTTGGCGCTAGGAGCTTTTTAGAAATCAAAGTGCTAGAGGGGTCTGAAAAGTGGCTAAATATAGCGACTAAAGCGCTAAGTTGGCAACACTGCTCTTTGCATGGTTTGTTTTCAAATGGTTTGCTGCTATCTGATTGGACCTTTCTGAACATGCTCAGCAAATGGGGGTGGGGGGTTGCGGGGGGCTGAGACACACTTATTATTATAAGTGTAATTTTAACAAAAACATAATTAATGTGCACAAATAAGGAATAGTTGTATGAACAATACGTGTAAAACGTTTTATCCGTCCCCCAGGAACTTGGTGCCCTAGGCAACTGTTTAGTGTTGCATAATGGTAAATCCCCCCCCGACACAGAGTAAAACAAGTTTCCTTGAGACAGATTTATATCAGTCACTTATTAAAATCTTTAAATTCCTCAAGAAACATCAAAACAAGCAAAAAAACTTAGACAACAAGGGAGTAACCAACAAGTAACCAGAACTGTCAGCCATTAAATAAAGACAGAAAAAGAAAAACATTATAGGGTCACAGAAAATGGGGGGAAAAAATCAAGTTGTCCCGTGAGAAATTAGCATTCTAATAGAAAAGCTCAAAGGAAATGTGAGCGTAGATTGTGAAAGAAAAATCAAAGAGCGAGAGAAAAGTCCTCTGCATGCAAAGCATTTTTCCTTGTTCATGAGCAGCGCATAAGTTTGGCTCCTCAGTGACGTGACGAGGACTTTAATCCACAGGCTGATCACCCACCTCTTTGAGAATCCGCTCGTTGAAGAACTGTTGCAGTTTCTCATTGCAATAATTAATGCAGAATTGTTCAAAGCTGTTGTGCTCAAAGTACTCTATGAGAAGGAAAGAAAACAGGAGGGAAAACATTCATTTCATTAATATTCTGCAGAAAAAGTGCAAAGCTTATTATTATAATGATAGGAATGGGAAAATAATGTTCTTAAAAAAGATGCCTGGTGATGAGCTTGTTTTTGTGTTGCTTAATTAAATGAACATTTATATTTAGGACACACACAGGATTATCTTACTCAATAATCCACACAGCAGTAAAAAAGGAATGAGGGAAAAAAATGCCATTTTCCAAATTACAGGTAAAAAATAACTGTCTACACATAAAGAGAAAGTTTCTGTAAATGTCTGAGTGCTTCTTTCCCCGACTGCTTTCCCTTACCAAACCCAGCAATGTCCAACACTCCAATGAAGTTAGAGGAAGTCTGGAAAGGGAAGCACTGGTTGACGCGTTTCACCACATGATCGAAGAGGCGGCTGTACACCGCCTTGGCCAGGGCGTCCCGAGCATTGTTGGCCTGCTCCACCTTTAGAGGCACCCTGGAGGGACACATTAAATGGGGCAATGACAGCGGCTCTGTAACTGGGACATGCTGCTCTGTTTTTACTCTTCTTAATCAGCCCCACTTTTTAATGTGGCATCGACGCTTTGATGTCGGCGTGAAACATTTGGGGGCCCGTGGCTTAGGTCTGAATAATGCTGCTATCATTATGATTTAAAAAGAAGGTTTTAAAAGTAAAATCTGAACTTTGAACTCTACCTGAATCTCTAATGGTGCTGTAACCACTATTAATGCTCAAGTTATTCACAAAGGTTCCCAGACCCCACAAAGTGCGCCTCTCCAAAGGCCAGAGTTCAACTGAGCTGTCCCAGCTAGGAAGAAACTGAATTTAAAATTAAAATATCCCTCTTTTACCAGGTTATATCTACTCCTTATACTTCCTTTTGATATTCAGCTCAGAAAGTAAAACCCTCATTTATTACAGTTCTATTACAGTTTAATCTAAAATGGTGGTTTGTTGGCAGAATTTAGTGTTTTGGTTGATAAGCGTATGTTAAAATGAGGAGGATTTGTCCCCTTGGAAGGAAGGCTGTAGCGCCCCGGGGGCCTCCTCACCGGTTCTTTTCCTGGGAGCAAGTTATTTACTACTCTTAACTCAAACTGGGTAAAACCATATAAAAAAAAGGACTATAAAACAGGAGTAAAAAATAACAGAGTTTATTCCAGATCAGGTCGTTACAGGACAGAGAAAATGCTTGGAGCTTTCACAGCTGTGGGCTTAAAAAACACGTCTGCTAGCGGCTGGCAAAGATTGAGCCCTGAACAAGGTCATCTCCTGCTTCTTACAGCTCATGAGTCTATGTGTTGCATCATGTTGATGTTTAGCTGTATCAGAAACTGACACGCCATCCATGTCTTGAACTTCATGCAGCTTGCCTCTATGCTTCAGGATTACAGATAGCTCTCCTATCAGTCCGGCTCCAAGATGTGCCCATATCCTGTGTATTTTTAAAGACACGAAGGCTGTCCTGATTAGATGACCTCCGTACACACAGTGACATCCACAATGTGAAGGAAGGCCTTCTGCTCTGTCTAATCTGACTAACAAAATAACAATGCACATGATGTATAAATGATAAACCCAACACGCATTAAAAACATCCAAGAAAGTTGGGTGTGGTCTCACCGACAGGTGTTTTATGAGTTGCAATGTTTTATCTGATGAGTTAAAAGACTCTGTAGCACCCCCCACCCCCCTCCTTTTGTTGCCCTCAGCCTCCCAGGGGATGATTGGATGCATCTGCAGCTCCGTAACAAAGAAACCCCCCCCTTTGTTCCAGCCCCTCCCCAGACGCCGGGGCTTCACTGTACCACAGCCACACTCCCCTGCCTCCTCAGACATACGCTGCATTATTGATGTGGGAGGAAACACTTCCAGGCCAGGCCGGCATCTGGCCCCTTTTAAAATATTAATCTACCAAACATGGCATTATCATCAAAGTACAGAGGAGCAGCGCTAATATCACATTCTCATTTGCATATGCTCTTTCTACTCCCAGGTTGTTAAGAAGTTTAGTTTACTGTTCTGGACCATTTGGTGTCAGGAACAAGAGAAAACAGCGTCTGGTTAATTTTAAACGCTCTGTTTTAATCATCTTTGATTGTTTTAGCCATATTTTAAATATTCTCTCCTTATATTCTCACCTTCATTTCATAAACATTTAAAAACTAGTTAACAACTGTGGGTTCAGTAAAAGCGGATTGATTTTCAAACAGATAATCACTTCAAACTCAACTCTGTTGATCTTACTTGATAACTGTGCCTTTGGCGCCCCCTGCTGTAGTGAGCATGACTCTAGTTGTGAGGCTGACTCGCAAATCGTCCTGGTCCAGGCCCAACAACTCAGCACAGTACTTCAGATTCTGGTCTGACTCTTTCTTAAGGATGCAACCACCTGAAAGCAGAAACAATCACCCTAATATAAAAACAGCAATATGACCTTTTGGATGGAGACTAAAGCATCTTTCTAGAGTTTTGTTTTCACTTTACTTGATTAAAGTTAATTTGATCTCATTATAGATATATTTAAAAGATGACTAAGAACAGTTAAAGGAATACCAATATTATTTCCATTTTTTTTATCCCCTCCTCAGTTTAAGTGAGCAGCAATAAAACCCAACTTAGAAGATATATTATTAATTAACAACAACTTATGTGTTAAGAACCTTTCTTACCCATAAAGTTAAACTATTATATAATACAACATATCCAGAGTATATCCAGAGTTTTACCAGACAGGGAAACCTGTTGATTTTTTCCTGATATATATATTTTTTACCACCTAATCCCAGTGGCTCTTATCAAAACATTATGTGATAAAACAACAACCACCACAGCAAAGCTGTGAATTAGAAGAATACACTGTTTTTTCAATAAAATAAAAGCCTAAACAGTTCTTCAGCCATTTAAATGTATACCTCTTTCCTTTATGGTCCTCTCAGTGGTTACTTTTTAATGTACCCTGAGCTTCAACTGAGTTGGGAAAAACTGCATTCAAATACTCTGCACCTTGGGGGTGGAATAACCTCCAGAAAGAGCTCAAATTAGAAACTCTCATGTCCATGAATGAATTCAAAGCAACCATGAAGAATGTAGTGATGAAGATATGTGCTTGTTTTTCTTGAGATGTTCAATGTGCTTTAACATACTGCTCTGATTTTATTTTATTTTTTAATTTTTAAATGTTTTATTATGAAAAATGTAATATGTTGTAAATATGTATGAACTTCCTGTGGTTTGGCTGCTACCTTGGCCAGGTCTCTCTTGAAAAAGAGATTCTGAATCTCAATGGGACTTCCTGGTTAAATAAAGGTGAAATAAAAATAAAAAAATACAACAAATAAAATCTAATAAAGTCCTTTCTGATGGAAGTGCAGAGATCCACACGCCAGATTGTAGAATCTTTGATTGGACAGCTAAGCCACGCACAGATCTGCCTGTTTATGAGGAACATGAAGAAAAAAGCCCTTGTATAAAGTTCTGTTTGAAGTTTACCACAAGTGATGTGGGAGAAAGCAGCTTGCATGTGTCAAGCTTCTGGGCTTCATGAAAAAAACAGGAGAGAATTGGTGCTTATTATTATCCTGAGCAGAGCATCACCATCCCGAACATGGAGGTGGTAAGACTTTTAACGTGCAAAGAGAGGAAGCTGAGCAGATAGGGAGATAGATGGAGCTAAATCTAAGAAAACACTGGGAGAGATCCTGTTAGCAACAGAACACCTCAGTCTGAGGTGGAAGTTCACCTTCTAGCAGAACAACTGCAATGGTTTAGATCAAAGCAGAATCATATTTAGACCTAATGCTGTTAAATAACATATGACAGGGCTTCAAAGCTGAGGTTTACAGATGCGTCCTGTCTAAACTTTTAGTTTTCTAATGAAGAATGGCCAAAAACTATGGAGATGCATGTCAACACTTTTGACTAAATGGGCTCATTACAAATGCATGCCACACTTTTCAGTTTCTAATTTAGAAAATTATCTATTACTTCCAGGAAAGTAAAATATCTCACAGACATAATTAAATACATAAATGAGTAAAACTGGCCTGATATGAACGTTTTGTTTTTAAGGAATGCGGCAGGTTGCTCATGTATTTGTTTGGTCATGTGACAGTGATACTGATGCAGGGCCGTACCATGTTAAAAGTGAAGCAGAGAAGAAGTTTAGCAATTTTTAGGGTATTGAAATCTTAATAGTGGTGCATCTCTTCTCATTTTGATATCTCTTTAAAAATATATTATCTACTTTATGTTGTTCTAGCACATAAAACACCAATTAAATATAATATAGGTTGTTCTAAAACAGGTGGACAAGTTCATGGAAAGAGAATGTACTAATCTGGTTATCCAGGATTTATTTTTCTTACTCCTGCAGATTAAAAGAGTGTTTCAGAGATATTCGTTCATTTTGCTTCTGTCTGACCTGAGGAGCTCCCAGTTTCTTCAAAGTCGATGTTTCCCAGATGCAGAACTCCCGCGACGACCCTGAAAAGGTCCAGTTTCTCTGTGTCATTCAGGCCGATCTTCTTCATGGCCCCGCACATCCTGTTAAAGTCTCCCTGGTCGTCCAGAAGCGGGTCTTTGAGAGCACCTGCCTTTACATGCTACAGATGCACAGGTGAGTTAGAAACTGGTGTGGGTTGATAAACTCTGATTAAACCATGTCCTTCACTCAAACATCACGCAAAAAAAAAAAAAAATTAATGCAGGTTTAAAGCTTTGATGAGGAAATATAACCCAGAATAGAACTAAGATCCAAATCCAAGCCTGAAATCAGAAAAAAACAGACCCTCCACCAGCAGCGCTCTGCCAGCTCAATGCATGATGGAGCAACACTTGAGCAGGTTTACATCAGCATGTGTCATGTACTTTATACCACATCTTTACTATAACAAAGCCAATAAAATATAAACTATTTGTGTAAAACGATTTATCAAGATCAATTATTATAAATTACTTGAAAGTTGGAAAGAGTTTTGAAATACATTCCCTTTATGTTGAAGAAGTCTTACCTTACCGGAACAGAAAGCTTTCTTACTCTGACCATAACATTTCATTTAACCATTGTGTTGCACACAGCCAAAGCAAAAGTAAAATTTGCATTAAGTTATGCAGCCGTGCCTTTAAGAACTAAAACATACTGCTGAATAATTAGGAAACACCGAAACCAGGACCAAAGCTGACATGCAAATGCAAAGAAAAATCTTTCATGCACCCATTTCCTGTTTTTACTAAAAGCAAGAGCAGGTTGAACTCTGACAGTCTCTGAAGCGAGTTTAGAAAAACACAGAAGAAGAAAAAGCCAAAGCCAAAAACATAAAGAAAGGGGCAAAAAAAAAATCACCTTATTGTCCTGTTAATCATCAGATGAGACAGAGGAATGACATAATCAGAAAGAAATCACACTGTTTTACTTACATAAGAGGTCACAAGAGGTTCATTGTTCATTTATTGAGATAAATAAGCATAAATGTTTTCATATAAAAAAAATTTAAATATCAAAAACAAAAAGGGGTAAAATCAAAGCTTTTATAATTCTGCTAAAATATGATTCCTGTTTATTGCGTGACATGTGAAGGTCAATGAATTTCAACATTACTGCAAACTTAGTGTAGACTCAAATTTATTTGTCCCTAGGGATAAAAATATGAGATAAAAATATGACAGACAATATAAAAAGAGGGTATATAGTACCAATAAAACATAAAATAAAAGAAAAAAGTTGTAATCTCCTGAAATATGTTTCCCTTCGATATAAAAATATCTGCATAGTAGAGATCTAAGGGAAGACTACACAGTAGTTGACTTGGATTATCGCACTTGTACTGCAGAGATGTACTGACCTTAGTACAGTAGTTGGCCGCCCAACATCATTTATTCTATAATTTCGCTTTTTTTTTCTTCTGTTAATTCTTTTAATTCTGGCATACAGTCCAAAACAAAAAAAAAAAAGATCTAAATTTCTGACAGAAAATGTGACTATGCAGATCAGCAGAAAATGCATGAACACAGCTATGCATAGATCAGCCTGTTCAGGAAGCTCAGTTTGGTCCTGGTGATTCTCATCTCTCTTATAATAATAATCCAAAGATACTATGAGAATTTTAGGTCTGGTTCTACCACAGCGGTTAAAGCAAGTATTGGTATTTTTGGCTGTCTGCGTTAATGCAAAGTCATGCTGGAAAATGAAGTCAGCATCTCCTTACAGCCCGTCAGCAGAGGGAAGGACTGAGTGCTCCAACGGTTCCTTGTTTGTGTCCGGACGGACTGACAGAATGTTTCTACTTAATGTGGAAACTAGGTCTGAAACCGCTAATCGGATTATTCATTTATTGAAATAATCATCAACTAATAATCATCAACTAATAGTTAACTGGACTCTAAAAAGGGCCTTTAGCTGAGAGAGCAATCCAATTAGAGTAGTAATTATATCAAAATTGTAAAACAAAACAAAAATATAAACATATTGCCCATCCATCCATCTTCCTCCGCTTATCCGGGGTCGGGTCGCGGGGGCAGCAGCTTAAGAAGGGAGGTCCAGACTTCCCTCTCCCCAGCCACTTCTTCTAGCCCCTCAGGAGGAACCCCAAGGCGTTCCCAGGCCAGCCGAGAAACATGGTCTCTCCAGCGTGTCCTGGGTCTCCTCCTGGGCCTCCCCCTGGTGGGACGTGCCCAGAACACCTCACCAGGGAGGCGTCCAGGAGGCATCCTAACCAGATGCCCAAGCCACCTCAACTGGCTCCTCTCGACGTGGAGGAGCAGCGGCTCTACTCCGAGTCCCTCCCGGATGACCGAGCTTCTCACCCTATCTCTAAGGGAGATCCCAGCCACCCTACGGAGGAAACCCATTTCGGCCGCTTGTATCCGCGACCTCGTTCTTTCGGTCACAACCCAGAGTTCATGACCATAGATGAGGGTAGGAACGTAGATCGGCCGGTAAATCGAGAGCTTCGCTTTTTGACTCAGCTCTCTCTTCACCACGACGGACCGGTACAGCGCCCGCTTCACAGCAGACGCTGCGCCAATCCGCCTGTCGATCTCCCGCTCCCTTCTTCCCTCATTCGCGAACAAGATCCCGAGATACTTAAACTCCTCCACTTGGGTTAGGGTTACCCCCTAACCCCCTAACCCTAACCCTAAAAGAAAAGATTTAGTTACACGTGGTTTAAATTCATAAAAAGCGTTCTTTAAGAAACCTTTGGCTATCAGATTATTAATCGAAAAAATAACCGACAGATTCAGAGGACATGTAAACTTTAATTTCCTCTGAAAAAAGGAGTTTAGATCACTGAGTCTAGACCTTTATCTCCTTATCCCAGATAACATGCCTTTGAATCATGTTAAAGCTTCGAACAAACAGACTCTACCCCAAAATATCCTAATGGCTGCTAGTGTCCCTATAGCGTATCTACTGCACTTTCTCCTTCCACTCAACTTTCCATTATTATTTCTGGTTGCAGCAATTAGTAAATAGTATGACTGGAGAACAATCAGCGCTCTTCTCCACGACTTTTTAGACAACATTATCAGAACATTTTGATATTTAAAAAACTATATTTAGATAAGTCATTTCCAAATAGCAGTAATCAGCGTCTTCGATTAATCATATTTAAAGTGATAAAAAGACAGAAAAAATATGTCCTGACATTCAACGGAAGCCATGATTTAATTCTTGAATAAAATAATGAATTAAGTTTTGTTAAACTCTAGAGAATCCTCATCATTGTTGAACATTGCTACAACCATGCTTAGTGTGAGGGTCAACGAGTCAACGAGTCGATGCAACTGCTTTTCCTAACATAGAAAACTTTGAATCAATCTAACTGGATGATCTGGTTGAACTGTAAAGTGCCTTGAGATGACATGTGTTGTGAATTGGCGCTATAGAAATAAACTGAATTGAAAATTTAACATAAGATTACTGCATATTTATATAATATACAAGAGACGCTTACCTCAGCACTCTTGCGGCTCTGTAAGATTTGTTTATCAGAGTCCTTGCTGGCGAAGTATCTGGTACATCCTCGGTTCAGGTACTGCAAAACACAAAGAAACAATTCAGGGAAATATTTGGACAGACTGAACTCATGGTGGGTAATCCTCAGAGGTTGCTGCTGTAGGTTTTAAAATGTTAAAAGATTCATTGCTGCGTTGCTCTGAGGATAACTAAAAGCAAATAGGAGTAGATGCTTCTGTTAATATGGAAGAGGCTTTGGGGACTTGGTAAGCAGATAAACATCTACAGCCTGAGGTGCTTGTTGTTCTGGTTAAGGTTATTATCAGAGAAAAAAAAAGGATTGTGAATAAAATTGAATTGCTCACCGGTTTGATCATTTTTAAGTGGATATAAAATATGAGAACAGCAAAAGGAATCATGAAATTTGAGCTGCTGAAAATATGAAATGGAAATCATCACTGCAATGTCAACCTTTGCAATACTGCAACAGATCTACTGCTCATCCTGGATATGCCTTGGTTAAGGTGCTGGAAACCATAAAAGGTAAACAAAGGATTTCAGTACATTAGTATCTGTGCAGGATTTCAGTCAGAAAGACTTTCATCAGAAAGTACATGTCCACTCCGATGAAGGCTTTTCTGACCAAAAGCTCACATTAAAAAGTAAAATATTGCACAGATACAAGGGTGCAGAAACAGTTTAACATTTACCATTCTGAAACCACAGAGGACCGCATTATTTAAAAAACAACAATATTTCAGGTATGACGGTTTTCTGGATTAGTTGGATGGTTTTCAAAGGTTTTAACATGTAAAATTTTAAAAAGATAAGTCTGTTCATTTACACACAGACCCTCCAGTAATCCAGTAAAATGAAACCTATAGCTTTAGAAGTCGCTGAATCAGTAAAAAGAGTCAATCTAACTTCAGTTGAACATAAAGCCAGATATTCTATTTATTACATCACTAAAGAATTTTAAAGGAGGGTTTGGTTTAAAAACAGGGTTTCAAGCCATCGGAACATGAAGAGCACAAACCTACCAGGAAATGAACGTCTGCCTAAAGGCCTAAACACACAGACACAGTTTAGTGTCCGCTCAGACAGGAAATTAGATCATATGTGGTTGTGGCATTTAGAGAAAAATGCATGGGACTGGACCGCACATGATTCTGCGCAACTGTGCTACGACAGAGGAAGAACCCTGGACTATTTTGGTTGGACCTACTTTGTGTTTTACTTTGCCTCCATGTCATTAGGCAGGATGAGACATGGTGACAGAGTAAAAAAATAATCTGCTTTGGAGAAAATACGAAACACACAGTGCATATATAGAAAGTTAGTCATAATCGGTTAGGTTATAAACAACTAATAAAACATTTGAATAAACTGTCTACTTTACTTTTGGTATATATATATATATATATTTTTTTTTTTGGTCAGCCTGTGGGTAGTGGGAGCCCATCATCACAGCAACGCTTGTAGAGCTAGAGGCTAGAGCAGTGACATGCAGAGCAGGGACAGGAATCAAAGAAACAACAAAGCGGCACAAGGTGACTTTAGAGGAGCTTGTGAGTCATGGAATCTGTTGACCAGACAACTATTAGTATGCATTCTGCAAATGTGGCCTTTATAAAAGAGTGGAAACATAAAGGTCATAAAAAAAAAATCATGAAATTGAGCCATGAAGGGAACTGGAATAGGTAGAAGAAGGGGACCAAAATGAATTGTTTTCCCTACAAGCAGAAGCGTCCGTATAATAAAACCTATTGGTGGAGGTTAGAAGTTGTAGGGAGGCTCTGAATTAGTTTAAAATAAATGGAGATAAATTCAGGGCAATCCTGGAAACCCTGTAAGAAGCTTTATACTTAAAGGTATAGTGGAGGATCTTTGTGATCACACGCTCTTTCCACCTTTAAAAAAAAAAATGGACATGCACAACCCCCTACCCGTTCTTGAGAGGGAACGCCTTATAAACACGTGCAAGAGCACGCACGAGCCCATTTCCACTTGTGCACGCTCTGTTTAAAAGTTGCTGTTTGCATTGCTCATACAAACTTACTTTTCAAAAGAAAATTTGCAATTATTCCACTACGTCAGTAACCTGACTCCGCCAGATGGATTTGCTCCGCATATCCATCTGGAAACCTTCCGTTGAAGTAATTTTGGGAAGGGGCGAAAATACTGGTTAGCTGATTGGCCTATGTTGGTGATAGACGGGCCAAATAAACCAATCAGATCAACGAAGCATATGAAGAGGAGCCAATTGGTAGATCAAACTCTTGCTGAAACCAGTCGGGAGAAGAGCAAAAACATCTTTTCCTTTGAGAAAAGCCTCCAGAGCAGTGTTTTGCTCTTCTTTCAGTGAAGAAATACTCTGTAATTCCGATAAAACTTGCTCGATAGCCACGCTAACGCTAGTTTCATCGGCTGAAGCCGCCATTTTCTTTAGACTGAACTGTCGCGCTTCTCGTTGCGTCACACCTCAACCCGCCTCAAAGCCAACGCTGATTGGACGTTCTTTGGTGAACGGCTCCACATTTTCTTCAACGGAGAGTCTCCATACTGATTAGCGAGTGAAACCTTGAAAGCACGCGAGATCAGGATGGTCTCACGAGGCTATTACGTCAGACTCACCACCGGTAAGTGAAAATGGGGAGGAGCACATAGGATGGCCTTACTTAAACATATCACCAGAATGATTGACAATTAAGAGGACCATTTATTCTGATGATCCACCCGGAAAAAGAACATTCTCCACTATACCTTTAAGACAAGGGCAGCAGAATCATCACTCTGAAGGCACAGCCTGAGAAAAAACATGGCGTGGTGCAGGTCAAAGTATTAACATGTATTTAAATGGTCTACTTAAAGTCCAGACCAAAATCCCCCTGAGAATATCTTGTAAAATATTTAATGATCACTAATAAATCTGATTAAGGTTGAACATTTTTAAAATGTAGAGTATAACCCCAAAAGAACTGAAGCTGTTACTGCAATGAATGGAAGTTCTATAAAGTATTGATTCAGGCCTTCTTTGTTCTTAACGTCACAAAATATTTCAAAGGTTCCAGAATATCAACACTTTTGCACAGCATGTAAAAGGGAATCTTTTTTTTTTCTCCTGTTATTGCGTCAGCACTCTTGTCTTGTCTTTAAACACTGACCCTGAACTTATCAGGAGAGTCCAGGTGTAAAGTCTTCTTCAGGTCCTCGGACGCCCCGGCACAAAGCCTGTAGAAGATGTGGTAGTTCCTCTCCTCATTGCTTTGCATACAGATCCTGGATTTCTCCAACAAGTAATGGGAGACGAATCCACCCACAACAGCATTCTAACGATACACAAGAAAGGTCATGTTTTAATAGGAATTGTCAATCAGAAAAAAAGAAAAGAAATCAGCCACCAAGACTTACCTTGTCATTAAAGTGAATTTCTACAAACTTCCCAAAGCGACTGCTGTTGTTATTCCGGACAGTTTTTGCATTTCCAAACGCCTCCAGAAGAGGATTGGCTGTTGTATAATGCAGAAAAAGAACAATCAGAATGACGTCATGAGACCTATAATCCATCAGCAACATGGTGAAAGATTACCTTCTACAATTCTTTCATCAATATCTTGACCGCTGCCATATGTTGTTGTCAGGTACCTACAGGGGTTCACAACGAAGCACAGATGGCACAAGTTTACTTTGCAAAGCTGCAATGCTGTGTCAATAAAGTCATACGTATAAAGGACAACATTATTTCAGGCGCTGCTTGTTATTTTGCAAATATTATCGCAGCTGTCAGAGGAGTAGTGTTTCTTTTGAACATGATTTCCCATTTTAAGGCTACAGCAGATTTTTTTTCTCCCCGTGTTCTTTATGTATGTAAATATTTCTCTGTTTCGTTTGCACTCTTACAGCCAAAGGAGCAACTTAAGGCTGTAGAAGTCCAAATTTAAAATAACTCGTGAAGTTTGTTCAATAAAAGATTAACTTAATCTGTGTTTAGTTACAGGTTTAGTACAATGTTGTTTAATGACATAAAATGAAATAACATATGACATAATAATGACATAATAATAGTGTTGTTGAAACAATGCTCCTGGTTAAAATACAGTCCCATGCACAGGTAGGCCTTCAAACTTTTTCATTTTATAATGCCAAATTCTAATTTAGTTTATTCCATGCTGAGCAATAAACCACCACATATGAGTGCATAATTATGAAGAGGAAGGAAAATAATACCTTAAAGATGATAACTTTTCTTTTTCACAAGTAGAAAAATCCGAAATGAGAGGCATGCATTTGGATTCAACCCTTCTAAGTCAAGACTTTGACTAAACACCTTATGCTACAGCTACATCTGGAGACTACGCTTTTTGCCCTTCAGAGTTTGTAAAATAGTAACCAAGTACGACTGGATGGAAAGCACCTCTGTAGTGCTGTAATTTAACTGGGCCATCCTAACATCATAACTCGGTGGTCAGTGTGTGTACAGGCAATTTATTTTTCCAATCTCTAGAGTTGAAAGACAAAGACAGCTGGTCCAGAAGTATGGGTAAATATGCGTAAAAGCGGGGGTTCATGACAGGTTATAGAGGGAACTTCTTAAAATGTTTCCATGAGCTGTGATGTATAATCTTATTGCTAACACATCCCTTACCCTAACCCTTAAACCTAAACTTTTTTTTGCTCTAAACAATGGAGCGTGCATATAGCGTCTGTCTCCCCCCAAAAAACTCCTGCATCAGCTTTGCCGATTGGCTGATGCTCCTCTGGTGTAAAGCAGAACCATGGAAGCTCTGACCCTCTGGACGTCTTGACTACGTCCCCCATAGACTTTGCATGTAAATCAGATGCTTTGATGCCCAAAACACTTTTAGCGTGAACACACCATTACACCTCCCCACAGCTTTCTTTCCTAACCCGTTTGTTGTGGTTCTTGTACTTTAGGATGCTGTTTTTCTCTAATTTAATCTAAGAGGACAGCCATATTTTAACAGAAAACAAGTTAAAATACAAATGCACTGTTCAATTTTTTTATTTATATTCTTTTCAAACATTTAACAATTGCTCATCTTCCCCAATGATAATTTACTGCTTTGTCTTGGTGGAGACATATAATCCAAATAAAATACCTGAAAGCTTATGGTTGTATCATTACTCAATGGAAAAATGTTTTGTAAAGCTCTGCTTAACGGTTACAAAAACAGACACCCTGATATAAACCCACTGAATTAGAAAGGATTCGTCAGGGGAAAGGAAACTGATTCATGTGGAAGTACATGTATACGGTACCTGAGAACAAACTTTGTGTTTTCCGTCTTTCCAGCACCAGATTCACCAGACACTATGATGGATTGGCTGATCTTTAAAACCTTCATGTCTCTGTAGGCTTTATCCGCTAAAACAAAGCAGATTTAAAGCAGATTATAGAATTTGTCATTATGCATGCTCATTACATGTACTAACCAAAATATAGCAAAAAAAATATAGATTTATAGCAACTAACCAACAATAACACCTGGGTAAGAAGTCTTTCATAATGGATTTAGACTGAATCTTTTCCCTCCTTGCTGTCTGTGTGCATGTTTCTGCTGCATGGCTGCTCGGTGCCAATCGTACTTGTCGGCAGGAAGTTCAAAGTTTGCATGCCGCTTTTGAAAACATTAACCTTTACAATGCAGCTCAGCCTTACAGGTGTGAGCCCTCACCTATAGCATAGACGTGGGGTGGCAGAGTTCCCAGGGATTTTCCTTGGTAGGACTTGATGGCATCAGGACCGTAGAGTTTTGGTACCTCATAGTAAGGATTAACAGCTATCAGGATATTTGCCACATAAGTCTGCAAGAAATACAAAGCAAAATTAGTGTCACCATGATGCATCATTTAGACTACTAAAAAACAAAAGGAAAAAAAAATAACAGGGGAAATAGATGCCTGAAAACTAACAAAACACTGTGAACCTTTATCATGTTATGAATTTTTTATCTACCACCTGTTTCTAATTTCTTAAGTAACTGAGGTGAAGGCAGGGTTTCCCAGTCTGACCCGTATTTGACCTCCCCGCAGTACCACCTGGTCATTCCTCCCAAGGGAGTCGAAAACAGGGATCTAATCTCTCAGCTCTACAACCTGCAACTTAATCGGAATAACCAGTAATATTGAGATAACGTAGAGATAAATACAGGAACTGTTTGGAACCTCAAAAATGTAATCCTTTTCTGATCAGTGAACACACCATACCTGACCTGAAAGAGAACTCTTACCCTGTTGTAAATGAGGGATAATAGCTACAATTGATATCAGTTAACTGTTTGAAATTAAGTCAGGAGGCTTAGCGAGTAAGAAGCTGTTTTAAACTAACAACGTTTTCAATATGTTTAGATATTTTTATGCTTCCTTCAACCTGCGAAGCAGAAAGAGAGCAAGAATTCGACACCAAGAAAGGAAGGCTTAATGAGTTAGATCAATTAGACCTGTTCATTAAGGATGTCCTTAATGAAATAAAAAAAAATAAAAAAAACTTTTTTCTTTTCTATTAAATCCCTCCAATACCATCCAAAAAAAAAAAAGTATCAGAAAAAAATCGGCCTACATCTAAGATATTCGATACTGTGCTCTATTTAAAGCTCTTGTTGTTCATGGATTGATGTTTCCATGCCAATATTCTTATAAATTATCTCTCTCTGCTTGAGTAATATCACCTGATCAAGCCTTTTCTAATGCTGTGGTTAAAATAAAAAAATAATAGCATTAAGTAATAAAAGTATATATCTATGTTATTACGATACGGGGATGATATTGTATCAGTCAACACTTGAAACTGCAACATTGATATCGTATTGGAAATAAAAAAAAGCTGAATTTGGAAATCCTTAATTTTTAGTTCTTTTAGTCTTCATTAGCAGCCTTTATTTTCAAAGTTCAGGTTGATCATTGTTCATATTAATTAAGTGTAATAATCATTAAAAAAACATAATAGACAAACTAAAATTCTGGTTAATTTCCAAAATTTTCATTGTATAAAACCCAGATGGAGGATCCCACTCTAGAAACTATAAGAATTTGCTTTTATTTACTTGATTCTTTTTCTACTATTCATAATTTGTTAATTTTCCCTTACTTGCTAATCTCTATCTCTAATCCACAAATCTCTATCTTCATCTAAATCTATAAATCTAGGTCGTCTACCAATTACCAGTTTATTTATTCTCTTCTTTATCAACTGAGTTTGAAAAAAAAAAACATTGGATTAAATGAGATTAAAGTCTTTGATAGGAAAACTGCACTTATATTGTTTAATATTATTATTTAATATTTCAAAGAGAAATCAAATAAATGAAAAATCAGCATCAGGAGATCAAACTTTGCAAAGATTATGAATGGAAAATTAGCCCCAAAATTTCTGTTGAATAAAACGTCAGTGTGTTAACTATGGTTTTATAAGTTTTTTAAATGAACCTGAGAAAGGAACGTACGTAAATATGGTCCTTATTGTATCGGACTCTGACGTTGTTGAGGAGAGTGGCTTCATTTAGGTACATAAGAGAACCTGCAGAGAGAAAAAAAGAACAAATTATGAAGGCAAACTTGCATTAAAAATAAATAAATAAACCGAAAAAAACAACAAACAGACTTACAGTTGTCATCGACAATTTTGTTGACGTCATCCTCTGCTGGGAAGACCTGGCTCATCGGAGCAAGAAGCGTCTGTAACATGAACCACATCAGTAATGGCAGCGTTTACACCATGGCATTTGCAAGACAGAAAAAAAAGCAAAAGGTGCAGTTGGTTCAATTAGACACTGAAAATGTTCTGTTTACTTCACTAATAGATTATTTAACATTTACTCGTCATTGGTAAACATTTTGATCAGTTTGAAAAGCAAGATCTACGAGTTAAAAATGGAGAAAAGCAAATGAAAAAGGCCAAACCCTGACAGACGTATCATTATTAAAGATGGCTGTAATGATGTTCAGTGTGTTAATTACTGCTGCCCTCACTCTATTGTTTCTGAGTCTGAGTCAATGGAAATAAACTCAATGGAACGAGACGATTGCGAGAGAAACAAGCGAGGGACATGGCAGTGTGATAAATTATTTGGAGGGAGAGCAACAAGATCTGAACACCTGACTGAGTCTGTGTGTATGAGGCTGGGAGAAGACGATGATGAAGCTCACAGGAAACAATAAGGCTGCTCTTCTCCTGGTCAACTGACTCCAACATTTAAAAATATATATATATTAACAGACAAATCAATCAAGGTCTTCATTTATTTGCAGTAATTACTTGTGTTTCCATTATATTTAATGATTTTCACCATCCCATTTTTATATTAATGCTTGTCAAATAAACATAATCCAAAGCACAATGGTGCATGGTTTATTACCAGTGGGAGCCAGCGATCATAAACAAGCGGAGCTTTGTGTGCCTCATGGAGGATGTTGGCACAAACACAGACATGGTCAGCCGCACTAACAACTGTGTGAATAATGTCTAACCAGTAAAATTTGATGCAAAAACAGAAGCACTAATGAGTCTGCTGGGAAAAGGGGGACATGAATGGGAGAACTTGTAAAACAAAACAAAAAATTAAAAAATATTTGTCTGTCTGGTAGAAATCTTTACAAACCAATATGCTTTTTAATTCATCTTAAAAAAGAACATTTATATTCAGAGAAAATTTTATAAGCTGGATTAACACAAGCAGGTGGTTTGCAAATCAATAATTTTCATAAAGCAGTAAAGCTTGAATAAATGACGCCACACCAGCTTCTCTAGAACTAATTAAACAAAATATCTGAGGTAAAATATGTAAATCCAGCAGCTTAGCTTTCCTTAAAACATACAGCGAACAAAGCTTAGTTCTGCTGTGTCTTAGTTTCCATTTTACTTGTCAATTCCACATACAAGTAAAAAGAAATAAAATAGGGGTTATAAAAAAGCACATTTATTTAATTTTCAGATATATTAATTTAATCTATTTTACACATTCAGTTATATATCTGATCATTTTTTATTTATTTTTTACGGTTTGAAGATTTTTTTATAGCTAATAAAACAGAAAAACGACATTTTCCCTTAAATCTGCTGAAAAGTCTCTCATTTTGGTTGGATTTACCACAAACTGGAGGCAGCTTTTTAAGATCTGACTACAAACAATGAACTTAAGGCTGCAGTCGTTCCTGTTGCCCTAGGACTATTTTCGAAAATTTTTCTCTCGAACAAAACTTTCCTTTTATAGCTTTGGATACAGCACTATATAACTCAACTCAACTTAAACTTTATTTATAAAGCACATTTAAAACAACCGGGGTTGACCAAAGTGCTGTACAGGAATCACAGTTAAGGAACATAAGATAAAAGCTAAAGGCTAAAATACATAAACACATAAAAATAGAATAAGATAGATGTTTCAATTAAAATACATTTTAGAATAAAATAAATTTAAAATAGAATTTTGCCAAATGTACACTTAGACATGATTAAAAGCCAGGTAGAAGAAATGTGATTTTAAAGAGGATTTAAAAACCTCAAAGGAGCCTGCTGATCTAAGATGCCAAGGCAAGTTATTCCATAGTCTCGTTGCCGCTGCCATAAAGGCACGATCATCTAACTAGCTAGCTTGTAAAGCATTTTTTTTCCCATGAATGCGAAGACAACTAAACTAAGTTCAATTTTAGTTCATACTATGTGATATTCTAATATTCAGATAACCTGTATCTGGGTTTGCATTCAATTCAATTCAGTTTATTTCTATAGCACCAATTCACAACACACGTCATCTCAAGGTACTTAACAATTCAACCAGATCATACAGTCAAATTGATTCAAAGTTTTCTATCTAAGGAAAACCAGTTGATTGCATTGACTCATTGACTCTTCAGCAATCCCTCACACTAAGCATGCTTGTAGCGACAGTAGAGAGGAAAAACTCCCTTTTAACAGGAAGAAACCTCCAGCAGAAGCAGGCTCAGTGTGAGCGGCCATCTGCCGAGGCCCACTGGTTACAAGGTTATTGGTGGATCTTTTATTTTAATTAAATATCTGTATTTACAGAAAAGAAATCGACACAAAGGCAGAAAACCTGACCTTCAACGATAACTGAAATACAACACGGATTTCCGTTTTATAATTTTTCTTTAATTCTTGTGGGGTAACTAAACTAATTTAGCACAGAATTGTCTGGAGTACCTTTAAGAAAACCCTAATTTATGCGTTCTTTTGTATAAAACAATGACAAAGTATCCGTATACTTTAGTATTTTGAAGTATCATACAAAGTGTGGGCCAACAGCACAACATCTAATGAAAAGGAAGAAAGTACTTAACTGCTTTTACATCCAGCATGAAGGCAACATCAGCTGGTGATGAAATAATATAATATATTTTCCAAGATATTACAACATTTTATTTGACTTTGACTGATTGGTTGAGCTCTTTGCAAACATCAGTGTTCCCCTAATGTAATTTTATTGTTCCCCTAATGTAATTTTATTTAGTGTGTTTTAAATTTATGTAATAATAACCATTTAAGCTACGGTGTAATAACCTTCTATTTACCAGCCGACTGGCAATAGGTGTGAGAGGGGCCATGCATCTACTGAGTTCTTCAAGCAGTTTCACTAAAACTGACTAAAAGCAAAAAACTAAGTTATTTAACGGGTAAACATTGAAAATCTGTGAATATAAATTAAAATCTTTACAGGAGGTAAACAACAGTCTGTGAATATCAAGCAAAACAGACAGAAATCATTAAAGCAGTCAGTGAACTGCCGTTCCTGCATGGAGCCTTTTAGTTAAGAGGAAAAAAAAAACCTTCTGACTACAGAAGAAGCTGCTGCTGCAGTGGGAGACGCTGTAAACATCAGACGGCTGCTTGTTGTGGGCCTGAGGTGACTCAGGTGTAACAGGTGGCCTTTACCTCCTAATGAGCTGCCCTCTCTCCAGGCAACACTATCAGCACACCTGCTGCTACTCTTTAGTTATTTATGTTTCTGTACATGTGGTCTCTCGTGTTTCTTCCACTCTGCACATTGTTTTACCGACGCCTTCCAGTCTGATATCACACTGGAGACCAGCTGAAGGAAAGCTGCATAAAAACCGACAGAATTTATTTACAACTGAGAATCTATGATTGTAATACGACCAAGAGCAGAGTGATGAGTCTTTTGATTTAAAGAGCAGAAACCCCAACCATCTATGGAGGATAAAAAGTGCCAAAATTAAATAAATAAATACAGCATTAAATAAATAATTAAATGTGTCAATAATTAATTAAATGTGGAATTAAATAAATAAATGTGTCATTCATTAATTAAAACCACATCACTAATATAAAGTGCCACAATTAAATAAATAAATACAGTGATAAACAATTAATTAAATGTGTAATTCATTAAATAAATAAGGAATTAAATATATAAATGTGTCATTAATTTAATAAAATACGTCTTCATTTTATTAAAAAAATATATATAATTATTTCAGTGTGCATTTAATTATTTCATGGTCCTGTGTCGCAGTGCATCGAAACCATTAAAAGAATCTGTCAAACTCACCCATCAAAGTTAGGGGGCGGTTATCTAACACCTGATTGGTCACCCTGCACATTAAGGCGAAGCAAATCGATTACAGAGACTCGATTCGCGTTAACCCCGCCCCCTAACTTTGATGGGTGAGTTTGACAGATTCTTTTAATGGTTTCGATGCACTGCGACACAGGACCATGAAATAATTAAATGCACACTGAAATAATTATATATATATTTTTTAAATAAAATTAAGACGTATTTTATTAAATTAATGACACATTTATATATTTAATTCCTTATTTATTTAATGAATTACACATTTAATTAATTGTTTATCGCTGTATTTATTTATTTAATTGTGGCACTTTTTATCCTCCATACCAATGCACACGATCTTCCTCACTGAATGTCCAGAGGGAAACTTCCTCGTAAACCGAGAGTCGGTTTATGTGCGACGACCCACCTTGCCCTTCTGGTTCAGTGGTTCTATGGTGAGCGTATCGGCTCCTATGTCAACGATCATTCCCAGCTGGAACCCGTCTGTGGGGTGGGGCGCCCACACTGGCTTCCCATCCTCCATGGCTTACCTCCAGTCAGCGCAGGCACACTACTGTGGAGAGAGGGACAGAAAGAGGAAGATGGGCGACACAAAGAAAAAGAGCCTTTCTTTCATACAAATATGCAAAGTTAGATTTGCATTTTTTTATGTCAGTTCCTAAAATGGAGCCTGATTCTTAGCATCCAAAATAAACATCCAAAGCTTGATCAGATCAACATTCAGTCCTTCAGTCTTACATCTAAGCTGCACAGCTGATCAAAGTCAATGCAGCTGCTCACAAAAGTCTAACATGGTGATTTCTGACAGACTAACATCTATTCTGTGCCTTTTAAAATTATATACATTAACATTATATCACAGTGCTTTTGTTTGTATTTTACAATATATTTTAGGTGACAAATACACTTTATCAGAGTAGCAATAAGTTTCCAAAATTTGATGTGAAAAACAAATTGATTAACAGCGACATTTCCCAGTGTTTTGCATTATCTGAGAGAGACCTGAGCTGAGCAGCTGCTGCTGTCTGCCTTGTTTTTCATTAACTCCTTATTACCCCACTGATCTTATAAGAGAGGATTTCCCCCAGCCCAGTATGGCAGGAAATATCCCCTGCAGGGTTCCTGCCATCCCTCAAGGGGACAACAGGACCTCAAGTGACCACTCTTGGTTGGCATATTTCTGCATGGGGTTTCCATATCTCCTCTTGCATGGTTAGGTTCTCTCCAGGTACACCTGTTTCAACCATAACCATAACCTTAACAGATTAAATGGAATGTGACAAGGGACTCCCCAAACATGAGGTTAGGGGGAAGGTTAGAGAAGTGCCTAGGAAAGCATCTGGCTCTTTGTCCAGATGTGAAAAGGCTTAAAGATTGACACCCTTAGTTATATGAAGTTGACCAAACTATGTGTGCATATTTCTAACTTGCAGATGACGCAAAAGTTCCAGGAAATCCCTTCTTTGCAGGGAGAAATGTTTAAAAATCCCCCAGGTTTTAAAGCAAGGGTTATATTACGAGGGAAATGATAGTATAAATAGCCTGGTCTTGCCTCCATATTCACTTTAACGATCATTTGATCCCTTAACCACCTTTAATACTCAGTTTTATTAATTTTTTTGTCTTCACTAATACCCTGCTACTACACTGTTCTTCCCTCGATGTTTCCCTATTATGATTTGTTTATGTACAGCCCTTTGCCTTGCTCATGAAATGCATTATGTAAATTAACTTGCCTTCGCTAAATTGCATTTAGAAATCAACGTGTTTGTTGGCCCTGTGATGGACTGCTGACCAGTGGCCCTCTGCCTCTTGCCCAACGTCCCCTGTAGGTAGGCACCAGTCACCCAGCAACCCCTCAAGAAACAAGTAGGTATAGTGTAGGTGTTAGAGCATTACATCTGTTCTCTCTAATTCAGCTTTAGTCCAACTATTAACCTGTTCATATCATCCAAGGCCAGACCAGTTGAATATTTCAGCCCACAAAACTACTACTCAAGAAAGCAGGTATTTTTACGTTAAATCAATAGCTTAATATGGAACCTTTAATATCTCAAGACATTGGCACCAAATGTCCACCCACCGAGCAAAAATTGGTTGAAAAGACATTGAAAAGGCGACATGATTTATGTCCAAATAAAGTCTACATTTGGTTGGAAAGTGAAAGTTGAAAAGACGTAATTTTCAGATCATTGAAAACACTTTTCAACATCTATTATTGTGCCAAAGTGGAGCAAAATCGGAACAATCAAACACATTCCATTTGGCACAACTATTTCGGGACTAAATCAAGACTATGATGGACTGACCAGATTTAGCCTATAAAACAACATTTAAATGACGTCTGGTGTTCAGGGGGAAAATTGTGCCCCAAATATAATTTTTTTGGGATGAAAATATTTTCCAGATCTCTCTAAACTCTCTTGAAAAGTAGAAGCTTTGCATGTTCCCACTGGAATGCTCTCCCCATGTCTGTGACTGGTGGACCTCACACTCCTCAACCATCCATATGAGGATGCTACTCAGATATGCAGTGGAGTATAAATTAGGAGACATGCTTGGCCACTCCAGTACCTTTACCCTCACTTCTTTTAGCAAGGTGATGGTCATCTTTGAGGTGTGCCTGCAGTAGTGAGCATGTTGAAATACTGCCCCTTGGCCCAGTATCTATAAGTAGGAGCTCCTGCCCCAGTATGTCACAGTGGGTGTTCATATTCATGCTTGCCTCAATGAACTGTAGTTCACTACAACTGGAAGGACTCATGCAGCCCCAACCTGTAACTCTCCCGCTACCATGACTTTCTGTAGGCATGACCTACTTGTCTTTCTACTCTTTACCTACTTACTGACAAATAAGCTTGACACAATCAGAATCAAAGAGGGTTACCTTTCTCTCCCTCTCTCTCCGGACCACAGGACATAGTTCCAGTAATCCATGTCCTTGATCTACTTTTTGTCAGCAAACTGTTTATGGGCTTTCCGGAGGATCATCTCTAAAAGAGGCCTCATTTTGGGATGGCAAGCATGCAGACAAAATATATGCAGTGTAAGGCGTAAAGTCTGAGTGCCGACGCAGATGACCTCTAACCCTTCAAATGCTGCAGCAAAGCTGGTAGCACTAAAAAGTCAATTTTCAAAAGAAAACCTCTGGATACGACAATGAGCATGTTCACTGAACGTCTTTGGTTAACCACCCAGTCCTCTAATGAGCTCTCAGGTTGTTAGCAATCTTATAGCCTGGGCCATCTTTATATTGGGCAACATTATTTGCTTTCACATCATTACAACCGTTTGCTATTAGGTGCTATGCTAAAATTCAAGTGGAGCAATAGCACCAAATTTAAAACACCTGCTCCCCTTCTGCACCTAAGAACTTGTAACACTGATAGCCCTTTCCCAAAGACCGAGAAAACAACAACCTTTAAACCTGGGAACCATCACTTTTAATGGCAGTGGGAACAGCTCACTGACTCGTGCCTACCCAGGTCAAATGACTCGACAGGCGACCTGTGTTAAATCCGCCTAGGCTTTCATCAGCATGCTGTGGAACACCAGACCCAGGTCGATCCACCAATTTACATGATACCATTGAGCGCAACGTAAAGACATCAACACACCGTGCAAGTTGCATCTGATATAACAAACCGAAAGTCTGCTAACACTTCATAAACATGGCATAGCACTGGTAAAAGGGATTCAGACAGATAAAAGTGACAGAAAGACAGAAACAATAAAGCAAACTGACCACACCCTGGCTTGCTTACATGTTGGTCTTCATTGTTTGCTTTCCTGATTTCTGTTGCACAGGTGACATCATCAGCACTAACCCAGCATGATGGCATCACCAGAAACACATCAGTGGTGGGAGCGGGGGGGTTAGAACCAGATTTTTTTCCCAATAGGAATGGAACCAACTACTGGTTGTTTGCGGGTCGACCAATATTTGAAAAACCTGGGTTAGCCCATTAGTTTCAGTGGGAAAGATGCTTAAGACATCTGGGCAAGTAAATGGTTGAATTTACTGTTGTTGCCAGTCATTAAGTAGCCTCGTGAGACCATCCTGATCTCGCGAGCTTTCAAGGTTTCACTCGCAGATCAGTCTGGTTACTTTCCGTTAAAGAAAATTTGGAGCCGTTCACCAAACGAACGTCCAATCAGCGTTGGCTTTGAGGCGGGTTGAGGTGTGACGCAACAAGAAGCGCGACAGTTCAGTCTAAAGAACACGGCGGCTTCAGCCGATGAAACTAGCGTTAGCGTGGCTATCGAGCAAGTTTTATCGAAATTAAAGAGTATTTCTTCACTGAAAGAAGAGCAAAACACTGCTCTGGAGGCTTTTCTCAGAGGAAAAGATGTTTTTGCTCGACTGGTTTCCGCAAGAGTAGCCTGGCTTGTGGTTGTGTTTTCGTCGTCGCTCTGTTAGTACGTCATATGCTTCGTTGATCTGATTGGTTTATTTGGCCCGTCTATCACCAACATAGGCCAATCAGCTAACCAGTATTTTCGCCCCTTCCCAAAATTACTTCAAAGGAAGGTTTCCAGATGGATATGCGGAGCAAATCCAACAAATCCATCTGGCAGAGTCAGGTTAGTCATTAAGATATTAGGACGACAAAGTCGTAGGATGGAGTTTGTTATGTGACCAGAGGAAATAAAAACTGACATATTTTCAGTTTTGATTTCGAAAACATTCATTTAGCAATCCAAAATATATTCCTATAGTTAAATTAGTTTATATTGGAGGCATGTAAAAAGGGCATCTATTTTCTTTTAGTCTGCTAAGCAGCAGTGTACAATTGGATTGAAGAGGTAATACATTCATAAACCTTGAAAACCTGAGGCTCTTTATTTTAAAGTACCTTAAAATGACCTTCTACCAAAAGAATGGTGTGACAGTAAAGTTAGCAACATTAAACATTGACATTCACTGATACCATCACCTGACTCCTGCTACAACATATCTCTTCTGACGTAGGCCAGCAGACAAAGCACAGGGAAGATATCCAAGGATCCATCACCCACTAAACCAAAACCGGGTACAATAAGGAACTTGAAGTCTTTACAGTAACTTATAAAAGTCTACTGATAACAACACAAAATGTGAAGTCAATAAAAGAAAACAGAACGGCAGCAATAAAAACTGATAGAACATACCATCAACTGATTCCAGGCAAAAACTTAACCCAAAACGGAAACTAAAGTAGATAAATTAAGCCTTTAATGTTTTTCCTAACTGAAACTAAACATTATATGCAGTTAATCAGAGAACCACATTTAAACATGATCAGCCTTGAAGTGGTAGATCAAGGCTGTGTGGGGGAAGGCTTTTGGAGGCGCTGTTTATGTTAGATTGTGGATAAGAAAAAAAGTTATGCTAAAGTTTATAACATTGATCCCTTTAGTTTGTCCACTTAGGATAGCCAAACAGCTGAAAAGGCTTACAAAGAGGTGTAAATAGTCTTAATATATGACAACAGCTTTTTCAACGTCATTTTCTTTCATATAACGTACAGTGAAGTGAAATCTGCCTCAATGGCTGGAAAAGACATCTAAACTCTGCAGAAAGACACAATCAGATCTCCCTGAGAAACTTTGACTCTGCAACCCAAATAGTAATCCTCTTAGTATTTGACCCTAATCCAGACAGAGAGGTGATAGGCTTCAAGTTGGACCCAAGTCAGCCAGCAATCACTCTGAAGAGTATGCAAATCAGAAGACAGAAAATATGCATGTATTGACACTGGCTCAGAGTTAAAGCAAGACACACACACACACAAACACGCCTCCTGTTTCCTGCCACTTGTTTCCTGACTGCAGGGTGCATGGAAAAGGAACTGGACTGGACTGGAGTGAATACTGGGAGGGAAAAAAATAAAAAAGACATGGAAACAAGATCACAGTTTTATATAGCAGATATAAAGCCTGGGGTCCAGATAAACTCTGATTATTGAGGAAGATTTAGAGAAAGACTGTGCATTAAAACATGATCAGAAGAGGAAGCAGGCTATGAATCCACAGTGAATGAAAGGCGAATGCTGTAATATTTTTCCAAAGCAGCAAGATCACAGGGTTACTTTTACTGAAGACTAAATTGAACAGTTATATTCCAGAAAACTGCAATAATATAATATAACAAAAAAGTGCATTTCAGTTGACAAATCGTTTCCATTAAACAGCCTCAAGAACTTTCTGCAGTTATTGGATAAGATTTAACGCTGTTAAAGTTTGTACCGTTTTATCTGTTCAGATGGCCCGGTTGGGTTCCCTCATATGGCTCTGAAAGGGTCCAGGTTTATCCGCGTCTCCTCGCGCTGCTGCCGCACAGGACGCACAGAGAGGCAGCGACAGAAAGTACTGCTGGCGTCCCGGTGAGCGCCCGTGACGTCACCATGGAGGTGCGTTAAGGTGCAGCTCGTAAGATCCCATGACAGGTAGCTTTATTAGCGCTTAGGTCGGAGGTTGCGGCTCTAAATTACAGCGGAAAAATGGGAGACACATACACATGAGCGTTTTTGTGATTCTCTTTTCTTTTCTTTGGTCAATCCTTCAGGTTGATTCAAATATTCATTGCGAAGCTTCTGAGCTGTTTTATAAAACGGAGTTCTTCAACAGGGGGTCCGCGAACCCTAGGGTGCCCCCTGCAGTTTTTTTTCCACTAATTGAAATGTCTTCAAATCCACATTAGCATGAATTCAACAGACTGTAGTAAACAGATAAATGGAGGCAGAAGATGTCTTTCAGTCATCAATGCACACATTCAGCGACACACAGGAGCTCTTTCAAGCTGGGCACCGTTTCATTCACAACACCTGTCCCATCAAGGAGGAATCAGAATGAGGAATACTTTAATAATAGCTACTAGGGAGAAATGACTTTTGTTACATGACTCCATCTGTAATAGAGTGACTATACTGTAGGACCAGTTTGATATAACACAATTTCATACAATATATATAATTAGGGGGTCCCCGCTCCATCTCGCCATCAGTTTGGGGGTCCTTGGCCTTTTATGAAATCTGTTTTGTTTTTAGTTTTTATGACACTAGCAGCTCATTTTTTTATGGACAGTATGCTGACAGCAGAAGGGGTATTGGAGGGGGAGAGATAGCGAAAAAGAACCGGTCATATTCGAACCCGGGTCACCCGGATCAGAGACTTGACCTGTTTACCATTGCTGTCATATGTCGCTAAGGAGAAGGAGGCTTAGATATATTGGTCACCACTAGAAGGATCCGAAAAAATTGTATTGAGCTTTCAGATGAAGTTTAATAAACTATAAAGTTAAACTATCAAGCTAAACTGTTTGAATCTTTTATTAACTAAGCAGAATATTTACGATATGCAGAAAACTGGTCTGTATGAATATATGAAAAAGTGTAAATCACCTGTAAAATTCAAGATACAAATGCAATTTCACATTTGCATTTGAAAACCCTAAAGCAATAAATGATTTTATTCTGCTGGAACATTATGGCTGGAAATTCCGAGCTTTGAATGCTGATGTTTTTTACTGTGGTGTCTTCTTTTGAGATATGAATAAAAATGAATGATTAAAGAGCAAAAATAAATATCAATCCAGTTTGAAAAAAAATATTTAGATAGTGACAGATATATATAGATATGTATGATGTGAGGGGGCGCTGCAACACATCCATGGACCCCTCCTGACCTCCTCTTTGGGGCCATCACTGTATAAACTGAGGAGAAATTACAGAAAGAGAACCCTAGACCACTTCACCTGCTTTGATGAAGTGACTGCCACTGCTGCTTGAGAGTCATAAATATTTAAGAAGCGTGTAATTTGAAACGTTTGTGGGGAATTTTGAAGGAGTCACTCAATCCACGGCTGAAACACTGGCTGCCACAGGGTTTGTAAATCTAATTAGGACATCGGATACTCCCTCATTGGACCGTATCTGATTACTGACACAAGATGACAGCATTTTGAACAGTGCCTTGACATTTTTGATACCATTTTAACTTCAACTAATTGACTTTACACAGTCTGTGACATGTAAGAACAAAAACAAACAAAATAAGACAAACAAATTTAAGATGAAATGATTGATATATATTGTGATCTCCAAGTATATTAGGGTCAGAACAAAAGACTGGTTCACTGTTCCTTCTTTTATGGCCAATGGCTCCCTCTAGTGGTCATAGGTGAGAAACATGTTGCTAACAATGCCCCAACATCTAACAAACGTTTCAAAGTGTATGCACAGGTGCTAAAGTTATTGATAAAACAGTTACAGGATGAGTGGGAAGCCATGCCAAATGTTGGTGTTGGTCCACTGGGTTTGATCAGATTTCAAATCATTGCTAAAGTCTACTGGAACTTTAATGGTGATAATCTTAATGATGGTAAGGAGCTGATAACCCAGCAGGACATGGCAGGTACCCAAACTTTCAGAAACTGTGGCACAGCTAGAACGCTTTACATGGAGGAGCAAAGATGTTACAGAATGTCCCGGCTGGGGGGCAATGCTGGAACTAAATCTCTTATATGTAAATAGAATAAACAACACATCCAAAGGAACACAGCAAGACTGATAGCAGCCACCAGTTGAGTGCATTTGAAGGTGATAATAGTTGTGCTATTGAGAAAAATGTCTCAAATACAGATTCCAATCTATACCGCACTGCAAGTTATACAGGAAATAAATAGAAACCAGACTCTGTTGGATGGGCTGGATTCCCTCACGTTCTGTTCGTCTTCATCAGTTTCGTCTGCCTCTCTGACTCTGAAATCTTCATCATTTTCAGCACTTATTGTAACATCCTTCACATCATCTTCTCTAATTTCTTCAGTTGTTGTATTTTTAGTGTCCCCCTTCACCTCTGACCCTCTTGGCCTCTCGTTTATTCTACTTTCCTCAAATCTTAGTTTGTTTTATTTTTTCTCATGGGTGGGGGGCAGCTGGAGGTACAAGCCTCTACAGCGGAGGGCCAGTTGCCCCCCCCCTAACTTCCTGTAGATCCATCTCTGTACAAAAAAAGGTGCAACCACTTGTAATTATCACCATTGTGTTGGATGAACTGTAAACCTGAGCCTGAACCTCAGGGAATCTATGGAGTATGGTCAAAAAAAAGAAGAGAGACTTTAGGCCAGTGTTGTAGTACTCGAGATCGGGCTTGGAGCATTTGGTCTCGGTCTCGGGCGCTGAGGACTCTGCATTTTATTTCAAGACCGGTCAAGACCACAACTGTGGAAATAACGCTAATCGTCAGAATATTATCAGTTTCTTTAAGATTCTTCTTTTTATTGGATGCTTGGATTCAAATCCAAGCAATAACCTGTCTCATTGGTAAATGCAGATTTTCTTTTGTTTTTTTTTACCTCTGTCACGCCCACCCCCTTTCACCTGCGCACGGCCTGCAGCACTTCGATTAAAAGTCACAAGTGGTTGTCTGAGAACGGGATAAGATGTCGGCCAAATCATCGGTTATAAAATTTTACTAATAAAATCACAAAGAATATATTTGTAAAGCAACATTGAGAAAAAAGTATACAGAGCAATGTAAGTTCTTCAGTGCTTCACTATCAGAGACAGTAGGAACTACGTCCAATTTTTATCGACACCTTGAAAGAAAGCACAAAGAAAGGTAAGCTACGTACATATTTAAGTCATTGTGTTGTGACAGTATGTTATGAGACCGACAAGCTGTGAAAATATTGAGCACTTCTGCATTTTCTCCATGTTCCCAGTGCCAACTAGAGAAATACACTGCTCGGTCAAAAACAAACCATCTGATTCAGCAACAGGGTCTTAGAACTGACAAAAGTCAGGCAACTTGGTTACAGATATGGATTTATTTAAGAAAAGTTATATAATATAGCTTTAATCTGTATATGAGAGAGAAACAAGAGAAATTATTGGCATTTTTTCAGTTTTACACATTTGCACATTGTTTTGAAATAGCACATTTAAAAACAACATAAATGTATGTACTATTCATGAAAGGCAGAGAAAATACTATTTTGATCGACTTTAATTGTTTGAAATTCTGTCATTACTACACAGAAGTACTAAATAAAGATCTTTATGTTTATTCCAGTTCTGTGTGGTAAATATCTAGGTGTTTTTATGTGAATGTGGGTCTTTTAGATCAATTTTAGTGATTTTGATCACGTTTCACATTTTATTGTAACATACTGGCGCTGGTCTTGACTTGGTCTCGGACCCTAAAAGTCTTGGTCTTGTCTTGGTCTCGATACAGTCTGGTCTTGGTCTTGTCTTGTCTTGGTCTCGGGTTAGGTGGTCTTGACCACAACACTGCTTTAGGCTCAATGACGCAGACGAGCTGAGGGCAATTAAAGTAACTGTGGTTTCAAACACTTCATTAGGAAGCAGAGAGCATCAACATCTGACTACATGTTGCTACCATCCAGCACATGGACATGTTAGATAGTTGTTTCTTAGGATTAGGCAGACTATGTTCATTTAGAAAACTGTTTATTCTGTCCAAATTTTTATAAATTTTTAATCATGTTATGGGTTTATTTACATCACTATAGCTGTTTTCTTTCTTTTTTTTTTATAATTTCAGACATGAAATCAGATGTTATGACCCAACAATTATTCAGTACTTGAGCAGCCAAGTTTTCAAGTAGTATTTCCCTTTTACTTAAGTAAGAAAATGTTAAAATATGAATACAATTAATAGAGGAAAGTGTTTGGGTAATGTACCCAACTCTGCTTATGAGTCTGATCTTACACTGTACTTTAAAAATAGCAATAGCAATAAGTAAACCAAAATCACAGAAATTCCCAGCAATAAACTGTATACAATATAGAATACAGAATGAAAGTTAGTTTCAATGATTTGATTTATAAAACTGTATGTATTAAAAACAGGAAATTCATATTTACTTTAGTTTTGTTTCAGCATGAACTGCTAATTTAGAGAACAACACTTTTATTGACAGACTTCAGACTATCAAACATTTTATTTTGAATTACTAGAAACTTTGTTAAATAAGTGACAGAATCCAAACCTCTTTCCCTCAATGAAGCCAGAAGCAGTTAAAGTAACAAGAGACTGTTGTTTAAATCACTGACTTATAAGAAAAAAAGATGCAAGCGTCAATATAATTAAGTTAAAAGCAAAGAATATATGATCAAACCCATTCTCTGTATTTATTAGACCTTACTTATATAAATCCCTGGCTACTTTCTCAGCCAATTATGTGCAGGGGCCCCAAATGCTTCAGGACTTTATCAGTGGGCTGTTTATATGTTTCCTATCTCAAACCCACACACACCCCAACACACACACTCAGACATGAGGACAAACATGAAAACTTTTCAGTAGGATTGCCAGCAATGAAAGCTCCAACAGATCGTCAGGAATACCATCCTCAGA